TTTTGGCGAAAGTCGACTTTCCCCCCGAAAAAAGCCTAAATATGGCACTTTGGCTTGGGGTGGAAAAAAAAAATTTTTTTATTTCTGCATTTCTGGGGCAAGTGAGGGGCGCAGTGGCATTAGGCGGGCCAGAAAATACGGAATCACCGTTCACCCGGCGGAAAAATTCGATTTTGGCGAAAGTCGACTTTCCCCCCGAAAAAAGCCTAAATATGGCACTTTGGCTTGGGGTGGAAAAAAAAAATTTTTTTATTTCTGCATTTCTGGGGCAAGTGAGGGGCGCAGTGGCATTAGGCGGGCCAGAAAATACGGAATCACCGTTCACCCGGCGGAAAAATTCGATTTTGGCGAAAGTCGACTTTCCCCCCGAAAAAAGCCTAAATATGGCACTTTGGCTTGGGGTGGAAAAAAAAAATTTTTTTATTTCTGCATTTCTGGGGCAAGTGAGGGGCGCAGTGGCATTAGGCGGGCCAGAAAATACGGAATCACCGTTCACCCGGCGGAAAAATTCGATTTTGGCGAAAGTCGACTTTCCCCCCGAAAAAAGCCTAAATATGGCACTTTGGCTTGGGGTGGAAAAAAAAAATTTTTTTATTTCTGCATTTCTGGGGCAAGTGAGGGGCGCAGTGGCATTAGGCGGGCCAGAAAATACGGAATCACCGTTCACCCGGCGGAAAAATTCGATTTTGGCGAAAGTCGACTTTCCCCCCGAAAAAAGCCTAAATATGGCACTTTGGCTTGGGGTGGAAAAAAAAAATTTTTTTATTTCTGCATTTCTGGGGCAAGTGAGGGGCGCAGTGGCATTAGGCGGGCCAGAAAATACGGAATCACCGTTCACCCGGCGGAAAAATTCGATTTTGGCGAAAGTCGACTTTCCCCCCGAAAAAAGCCTAAATATGGCACTTTGGCTTGGGGTGGAAAAAAAAAATTTTTTTATTTCTGCATTTCTGGGGCAAGTGAGGGGCGCAGTGGCATTAGGCGGGCCAGAAAATACGGAATCACCGTTCACCCGGCGGAAAAATTCGATTTTGGCGAAAGTCGACTTTCCCCCCGAAAAAAGCCTAAATATGGCACTTTGGCTTGGGGTGGAAAAAAAAAATTTTTTTATTTCTGCATTTCTGGGGCAAGTGAGGGGCGCAGTGGCATTAGGCGGGCCAGAAAATACGGAATCACCGTTCACCCGGCGGAAAAATTCGATTTTGGCGAAAGTCGACTTTCCCCCCGAAAAAAGCCTAAATATGGCACTTTGGCTTGGGGTGGAAAAAAAAAATTTTTTTATTTCTGCATTTCTGGGGCAAGTGAGGGGCGCAGTGGCATTAGGCGGGCCAGAAAATACGGAATCACCGTTCACCCGGCGGAAAAATTCGATTTTGGCGAAAGTCGACTTTCCCCCCGAAAAAAGCCTAAATATGGCACTTTGGCTTGGGGTGGAAAAAAAAAATTTTTTTATTTCTGCATTTCTGGGGCAAGTGAGGGGCGCAGTGGCATTAGGCGGGCCAGAAAATACGGAATCACCGTTCACCCGGCGGAAAAATTCGATTTTGGCGAAAGTCGACTTTCCCCCCGAAAAAAGCCTAAATATGGCACTTTGGCTTGGGGTGGAAAAAAAAAATTCTTTTATTTCTGCGTTTCTGGGGCAAGTGAGGGGCGCAGTGGCATTAGGCGGGCCAGAAAATACGGAATCACCGTTCACCCGGCGGAAAAATTCGATTTTGGCGAAAGTCGACTTTCCCCCCGAAAAAAGCCTAAATATGGCACTTTGGCTTTGGGTGAAGAAAAAAATTTTTTTATTTCTGCGTTTCTGGGGCAAGTGAGGGGCGCAGTGGCATTAGGCGGGCCAGAAAATACAGAATCAGCGTTCACCCGGCGGAAAAATTCGATTTTGGCGAAAGTCGACTTTCTCCCCAAAAAAAACCTAAATATGACCTTTTGACTCCGGGTGACAAAAAAAAATTTATTTCTGCATTTCTGGGGCCTCCGAGGGTTTTATTAGCATCAGAAACGCTAATCGATGTCAAAATTAAAGAATGTAATCGAAACTAACTTTCATTTTTGCGGTCTTGCAGAGGCTCGAATAAGCCTTGACGTACTGAGCCTCAATACTCAAAGCCTGTACTAGGCCTGAATTGAACCTCCCCAATGGCCCCTTCAATCACCCTCACTTCAGGCTGGAATGAACGATGAAAACAAGCCTGTCCCAGGCCTGACTGAACCTCGCCAAACCTAGGCTCGCACAGGCTTGTTTCCATTGTCAGCCTTTATAATTCCTACCTGGGCACCTGTACAAAATGAAGCTGGCCCAGTAGGAAAACTGCAGGCTATGCGGAGGGACAAGGGAGGATGCTTATATTCTGTGCCGGTGCTCCCTGTTAGCTATTCGTAGATACACGGAGAGAAATGTACGAGAAAAATTACCGTGCCCGCACAGTAAAGTTGGTTCAGATGGTCTTTCCAGGCCAAATGTACCGCAAAGAGTAGGAAAAAGTACTGTTGCGCGAGTCATTTTTCGGATAAATGTGGGGAAAAATTCTTGTGCAGCACGGTAAAATCGAAGCGACAGTGAATTTTTACGAGAAATACGAGAAAAATTATGACACTGACTGGCAAATTTTTCCGGTGCTCTACCAGAATCCTAGGACCCGATCGCGCATTCGTAAGATTTCGGTACTCTTCGTCCCCCCTCCGCAACCACGAACATCGACTCAACGTGACCAGATGATTTATTCCGTCGCCTCCTCTAGCCTCCTCTCTCACATATCTCCTTACTGAAACCCCAGGTTAATGTTTTTCATAATATCAATTCAGTGAAATATTAATTAGTGTTGTGATAAAACGGTTAAGAAATAAAATAAGTGCCCTTTATTTTCGCTTCATGAGGTGTATAACGCTGTAGATATACATTGGCCTGTCAAACGTTCCACATACGTTTGCCGCGCATTCCGCTTTTAATATGGGAGAGAGGATATGGAGGAGAGGTTAAAATAAAATTAATAGGATGATATGCTGAATGACAATGTTTACTCATTTTTAACTATTGAATGAAATTTATCATGTAATAGAAAACAGTCAGGGATCAAGCTTTTATTGTGCGTTACCGGAATTTTTACTATGCAGCACCGGAATTTTTCTGGTGCTAGACAATTGAACCCACTTTACCAGACGGCACGGTAATTTTTGCCTGAATTTCGCCTGAAAAATTCTGGAATTTTTTTCTCCGTGTATAAAAACTGGGGTCGGGCTTTTCTGGAACCAGCTGATTTAAACGAAGTGTCAGTAATCAGCCTTAGAAGCCTAGTCAAAGGCACAGGTTTGGGGCTGATAGACTGACCGGGGGAAAAAAGGCGTAAATTACAAAATATCGTAAGATTTAGATGACTGCGCATTTTAATCGACCAGCCGCATAACTATCTACCTAACAAAAATCATCGAATAGTTAAGGTTCACCGGGGTCAATGAAAATGATAACAAATTGAGAAATTCATCTAATCTAAATTAATTTGAATGATTGATTCTGCTCTTTCTTCTTTCATCGAATTATTTTGGATATTCAATTAATTTCCAATCAACACACGATTCAGACGGATGCCTCTAATAGAAATTCCTGGAAATTTCATAGTATCACTAGGCAACAATTGATCAAGCGCCGGCATATACTTCATCAACATTACCACCCGTCCACTGAGACCGAGTGGTGAAAAACACTATGTTTGCAGGGTAGAAATGCTGACGGAGTTATGTTAGTTGATTGAGGGGTAAAAAAATTAAATAAACTCAGGAATGGAGAAGTCCAATTACCACTCGGCAAACTGGCAGAACAACCAGTGTACCATAATCAAAAGTTTTGGTAATAGTAGACTGTGTATTCCAGCACGTAAGTCGTTTTTGTCAGCACTGGAGACTTGTGTTGATGCACTGGCAATTTATCATCAGACGCTGATTAATTGGGATTGTACTGGAGATGGTAATGAACCCAGGTAATTAATAATTTGTTTAATTAGAACGGAACAATAATTTTAGCACTGCGACCCATTGCAGACTAAAAATATTCGGATGTAGAGAAACATTTATTAAATTTTGACAATTCATTGTTAAGATTTAACTGCTAAATGTTAAAATTTAACAACTATGCATTGAAATCCAATAACTATTTGTTAACAATCAAAGAATACTTGACGAATTTCCACATTTGTCGACATTTGCGAACTAGTGGATAAATTTCAACAAATAGTTGTCGTAAATTGTTAACTATGCGCTGAAATTTGAATAAGTTTTTGTTAAAAAATTAAGAAGTAGTTGAGATATTTCAAAGACTATTGCTTCAAATTTAACAAATAGTTTATCAAATTGAGCAAATAGTCGTTGAAATTCAACAACTATTCGTCAAGATGCAACAACTATCTGTCAACTTTTTGTCAAAAATCAATCGATAGTTATTCTATGCAAACACATAATTGTTGAGATTTTACAACAATTATTAAAACACAAATAGTTGTCACATTTTTGCAACTATTTGATCAATTTCAACAAGTATATACTCAAATTTGCCAAATACTAAATCATCATCACGTAATAGTTTTTAAAATCGAACAATGATCTGTCTGAACTCAGCAAGTGGAATCTATAGTACAATCTATAGTTGATGAATTGCAAAAATTAATCATAAAAATAATTAAAAATCGAATTTGTGAAAAATTGGAAAAAAATAGTTAGACTAATAGTTACTAAATTTCAACGAATAGTTGTCAGAATTTAACAACTATTTATCACATAAATTACCTTCTGCTACTCAGAAATGCTGCAAATAACACAAGAATAATGCAAAAAAATTCAGATCACCGTGAGATGCTTTGCAAGTTGGAGCGCGACAGGTAAGCGATAAAATCTTCTGTCTAGTCCAGTTGATTAATCCCACTTAAGCCGTAACATTCCACCCGATCAGAAAAAAACTTAATTTTCTCAGTTCGTACGTTCGGCAACTATTAGATGCCGTAAAAACTGAAATGCAGGAGAAAGGAACTTACACCGTCTTGATCCACCTAATCAAGCGAACAGCCGAAAAAGAAGTAGAAGAGAACAACATCATCCTGAACGACACAGCGGCGCAAAAAACCGTCCAAGACCTGAAGAAAAAACTCTCCCAAGAAATGATGGAGAACGAGCGGGAGATATCCAGCCTCTGTAGAGAACTCAACAAACTGAAGGTTGAAACAATAATCTCCAATCGTCAATCTAAAAACAAGTGGATAATTTCTTTTTGCATTTCTTTATGAATGAGTTTAGTGTAATTATTGTTAGTAAATTAGCAATCTATTTTCGAATGGGTTCTCTTTTTTTAAATTCTTATTTCACTATTTTCTTCTTCGATTTTTTCATGTCATAGTACTATCATCAAATCGCATAAACAATGCGCAAATCAAAATCTTTTCATTGCTCGAATTCCCAACAAATGAATCACCATAAATTTTTCATCTTCCATAAACCATCCAGGAAGAAAAACAGGAAATTGAATTGAAAATAGACCGTGAAACGGGATACACGAGTGCCTGGGAAGCAGCTCAATGTGAAGAGAATACGGAGCGCTGTAACATCACACTGGGGTACCTAAGAACATCGCTAGAGGATATCTTAATCCTCAATAAAAACGAGTGTAGAGTTGCCCGTGAAATTGATGCATTTCTCAAGCAAAACATCGCTGTGAGTCTTGCAGCTGACTAATGATCGATAAATGACCTTCAAATGTTCATTTAATGAATACAAAATGCCATTTTTCACAGACGAAGCAAAACATTTGTTGAATTTCAGCTAATGGTTGTTGAATACATGAATTGATAAGTAGTTGTTTAATTTCTGCAACTATTTGTTGACGAATCAAAAAAAAGTTGTTGAAATCTTATAACTATTCTTTGAAATTGACAAATATTAAAACTATTACCAAAAACCAATAAATAGTTGTTGAAAGCATAACTAATCGTTGAAATTGGACAACTGTTCTCCAAAAATCAATGGATCGTTGTTGAAATTTACCAAATATATGAAAAAATTCAACAACTATTAGTGCAACTTCATCAACGATCCCGTCAAATTAAAAAAAAATTGTTGATGAACTTCAACAAGTATTTTTTCGAATCTAACAAGAATTGGCTGAAATTCAGGAACTATTTTTTAAAAATTAGCAGATCATTATTTGACTTCAACAAATAGTTATTGAAATCTATCAACTATTCATTGAAATTTCATAACTATCCGTCAAATTTCGACAACTATTTATTCAAAAAATTGCGAATAGTTTGATTCAAAAAAATAGTTATCAAAATTTGATAACTATCTGTAAAGTTGAAGCTCAACTCAACTCACTATATTATATCGTTATCCCATCAATTTTGATGATGTTGATCTTGATGAACCATTAAATTAGTTTGTCCAATCCCTAACAAGTTTAACGTAAAAGCCTCGGACAACTGGGAGAAAAGGTACAACCGAGAAATGCAAATGTACACTGACAGAAATAATCAACTGCGAGAAGACATCGAGAGTAGACGCTCCACTCTTCATGAACTTGAAGCCAAGGTGGGTTGGTATTGGTGATTGTGTTTTTGACGTTAACAAAACCACTCGGCCATTTTCCACCTCGAATAACCGAGTAAACTAGGAAGGACCTTCTCTCTCCTGTCACTGGTATATCCTCCACACACTGAAAATCGATTACAGACGCCGGAGGCATTCGAATGCCACTTTGGTATTCTAATCCATACAGTGAATTTTATTGACCCTGGATTTATAAGATAATGAGGAATGGGGAAATTGGAGGAATTCGTTTATAGGAATACTGGGGAGATCAGTTATAGTTATTTAAAATCATCTTTGAGTCGATTTTTACTGGATATGATGAGAATGATTAATTAAATCAAGTTTTGATGACTTGCCTTTTAGAGCCGAGTCAAGTTGGACTTAAGTGTTGGCGGAAGATGACTTGATTCAAGTGATATTTTCCCGGTATTATTCAAGCTGACGGAGAAGATCACTTGAATCATGTCGTAGAGACTTCAATTCGAGACTTGAGTAAAGTTTCACTCGAGAAAAGGTAGATGATTTGAATCAAGCAGCTCGCGTCTGTGGAGTTGTCTTGTTGGTTTGAGTCAAGTTTGACTCAACGTGGAGAAGATTATTTGAATGAAGTTATTCAGTTTTTGTATTGAGTCAATTTTGACTCGACGCCACGAAAAATATCAATTGAGTCAAGTCGTAGAGCCTTGCTATTTTGATTTGAATCAAGTTTGACTCAAGTCGAGGCGAAAGATTCTTCAATCAAGTCATAAAGAACACCATGAACAATAAAAAGCATCATACATGTCTTCAGTTTGAGTATAGCATTGAGTCATTGTCAAACTGCTTAATGCTAAAAAAAAGTGATTCAAGTCTCCTCATGTCTTGTATGTAAATTATGAGACAACGATCAATGATCGTGAGTCAATTAAAAAAAATTTCATTCACGCTTCAAGAATAAAAATTAGCGATTAAGAGTGCTTGAATCAATTTTCTGAATTTGACTCAAGTCAAGTTGAGATGATTTATCCGGAATTTATTCGATGAAATCATCTACGAAAAAATTATTTATTTCATTCGCGAGGAAAATAGAAACCTCTCACATTGTTTCTCATAATAATTCGTAAAACAGAAATATTTATAGGATAGATGAAAAATTAGATATCCGATCATTCACAGCTTTCTTATTTCCTCTTTATTTAACGAAAATTAATCCTCAATTAATTATTTCCTTATTAAATTGGCCCGAGGTTCTCCACGAGATGAAATATCCTCCTCACAGTAGAATGAGGAGGAGAATTAGTGGGCAATCAAAGGATTTCCACTGAGCGATCATGAGAAACCGTATTCTGTACTTTTTTATCTTTCCGTTGGTATCTTTTTTGACAGTTCTCACATAATTGAGTTTTCCTCCCTGAAATTCCTATAATGGTCTCCGTCCAATGTTCTTTTTTTCCAGTTTCGTGAGAGACAGGAGTTTATTGACCAGTACCTCGCGGAGAAGGAGGCTGCGAGGGTTCTCAGGGAGTTGGAGGAGCATAAGAAACATTCGGCGATTTGGATACAAGCCTGGTGGAGGGGAGTTATGGTGAGGAGAAAACTCGGACCCTATCGCCCAGATGAGAAGAAGAAAAAGAAGACAGTTAAAGGAAAAAAATAGTTCAGATAGCTACGACAACATATAACATTGAAGGGAACCTGAGTCTAATCTTGGAGACTCGCATTCTTGATTCGATTCAAGTTTTACTCAAATGAGGAGAAGACTTGAATTAAGTGTCTCAAGTCTCAAATTGAATCAATTTCGACTCAATATGAAGCATAAAACGACTTGAATATAGCCGTGGAGACCCACATTCCTGAGTTGAGTAAATTTTGAATCGAGTCGTGAAGTCTTGCGTTCTTGAACTGAGTCAAGTTTGACTCAACACGAAGAAGAAGATAACTTTAATCATTAAACACAACTTGAATATAATCGGGAAACTATTTCTGAATCGAGTCACTTTTGACTCGAGATGAGGAAAAAGATAACTTGAGTCGAGTCGTGAAGTCTTGCGTTCTTGAACTGAGTCAAGTTTGACTCAACACGAAGAAGAAGATAACTTTAATCAAGTCGTAGAAAACTGCTTCAGCCATGAAATAAATTTTCTCCCCTACAAAAAGGGTCTCTCGATACTTTCTCCGAAAACCTCTAGTTTCCGAAATGAATCCATAATTAACAAACACCTCATATTCGATAAACAAGCCGTTTTGGAAATTTAAGACGAAAATGAAAATTGGAAGACTTGTTTGAGATTGATTTTTTCATTTTTTGAGTATTTTTGATTTTATGACCACTGATGTTTTCAAATTTTTTTTCAACACTGATGTTTCAAAATTTTTTTTTGATAAACAAAAGATGTTTTGATCAATTTTCGAGGATTATATGAGACTAAAAATCGTTGGAGGAAATGCTTTTATGAAATTCTCATCAGTTTGATAGGTTTTTGTTGTCATTGTTTATTAATTTGGGTTTAAAATGGGTTTTGTTATTTAACAATAATTCATGTTGAGGGGATTAATTTCAGATGCGGGGATAAGGTTTGAGGATGGGTTGAATCTAGCCAGTGAGTGGACTTATTTTTTGAGAATTCAAATCAACTGGGGAATTTCATTTGATCAAATGGTCCCTCTCTATTCACCAGGGATCCCCATCAATATTAAATTTCTGTAATATTACAAGAATTTGACCCTTACATTCATGAAGGTTTAAAATATGTTAATTCAATTTTTCAAATAATATAATATTAATAATCTGATTTGTTACGAATAATGATGAAATAATCCACCGTTTTGCAAACAAGTGTTATTTATTTGTAACAGGGAAATGTTTGAGAAAATATCAATATTTTATCAAATTTAATTTAGTTAATACTGACTGGGTATGAATTTTTTCAAATTTTTTCCATGCAATTTAGTTGAAAAATTTAAAAACTGAAAATATTCAAAAGTATAGCGTAGCCCGGCCGAAGGGAGAGCTCCTTTAAGTACTCAAAAAATTTCAAGAGTGATGTTATCTGACTGATGTCTACAATATTTGACCCTAGTCTGGTCACCTGACGGGAAAATGCGACTTTAGTCACCTTCGCGGGAGAGTGCCGCCGTGTTATTTAGGCTCCAGCGTTGCCGAATCCACTCTACACTTCACGGGCGCGTTTAGCGAGTTCCCAGCAACGTCGCGCAACAGGCAATTTCATTTAACGCGGGAAAAAATTGTTCACCTGTTGGAAATAATTTTTTTTCTCCCAGAATTAAGGATACAATATTGAAAAAAATATACTAGAATTTTCCGGATACTTCAATTGACGAATTCAATTTTTCTCAAATTTTTCCGGTCAACCAGTCGATGGCAAGGTGAATAAAACGACATGTTGCGGCAATTCCCTCGCATGGTTACCAGTCTAGGGTTAACCGTAATAAAATATTACAAATTTGGCTATGCCGGCTATTCACACCCACAAAAATCCTCCAAAATTTGATGTATTCCTAGGCAGGAGCACGATGTGTGACCCCCGGTAAAGCTCCTCGAGATTACGACATAAGAAATGGTTAACACGACGTTGGCATTCTCCAGATACGGAGACCCCCGCACGATGCCATATACTCCGACATCATTTTCCCGTACAACGTGACTATATTCTCGGGAAAACTGGGAGATAAAAAAATATAAAATAAGGAAGTAGGTCAGAAATACGATTTTCGTTGGGGGTCGGGGGAGGGGGAGGGGGGTGAATGCCGACGAGACCACTCACAACTTTCATGTGAAAACGAAACTCACTCAGAACTTCGTGATAAAAAAAATATTATATATTTTTCTAGTTTTGTTGGCGATGAATTGAAACAAAAAAAATGTTAATGGAACGACAAATGGATCATAAATTTCAGCCACTTTGCAGGGACGAAAAATCCATTGTTTGATGTCGGCGAAACCCTGGAGTACCCGCCCTCCTCCTCCCGACCGCCGGAATAACAGCCCCTCAATAAATATTCAATGCTATCACCGGGAAAATTACATCCACTGGGTAATTAAAAATTAATGGAAATTGGTCCAATCGAACTCGATAAACTTTAATTTTCCTTGGGTACACATTTCACGGAGATGAAGAAATGAATGATAATTAAACAATTCTGGGTTATTGTTGTTGGTGGTGGGGGCATTCAGCTGTCCGGGATTTTTAATTAATTATAGGGAATTTATTGATCAATTTGAACGGTGAATGAAATTTTGGTGAATGAAACGGTGAAAGAATGTTTTTTAGGATTTTATTTAAATAAAAAACTGAAAAATTAATAATTTTATTTTCCATTTTTTGTTTGATTTTATTAGGTTTTTTAATATTTATTGGAATTATTTGACGGAATGAGAAATCATTATGAAGAATGGCAAAAGAGCAATTGAAATTTTGGAAAAATATTTTATTTTTTATGAAAATTAATTAATATTTTTTTTTCATTTAAAAACTGCACATGATCCGTGTTACTGGGAATTAATTACATGCTGATGTTTTTATTGATTAATTTCCACGTTGAGTAAGAAATTTTGGACAAATTTGCAATGAAAAGAAAGTGAAAAAACGTATCAATTTCTTACGTTTTCATTTTTAATTTTATATTCGATTTCATTAATTTTTTTCATTATTAAAATTCAATCCATATATTAATTTTGAGAATTTTCTATTTTTTTAAATTCTTTTTCTTGAAATAAGTAAAAAATTTCAAATAAAGATTTTTATTTGATTAAAAAAGAACATTTTTCTGGGTGTAACAATGAAAAAGTTGTTCCACCCCTCCCGCCCTGAAAAATCCCAACCGCCAGAAAAATTCGAAAAATCCCGCCTGACCTCCGATTCGTCGACCCCAACCCAGCCTGACCCGACCTGCCCCAGCTTCGCCGTTCCCCCACTCGCGTCGCCACCGCCCCACCCCCCGATCACGCTCTCAAGTGCCCGAAGCCCAGTGCAACTCGAAATAATATTCGCAATCTCAAAAAACCCGAGAAATCCCTCAATTCACGAGCAAAAAAAATAAAAAAAATCCCAAAGCGCGAGAGCCGCGGAATCTCCGAGTGAACGAACGTGTCTTAATGGCGCGAAGTGTCCGCCATTTTGCACTCTCTGTCTACCTCCGTAAATGCCGAGGCACAAGTGCCCAAGGAATTACCCATCGACGGTTCAATAATCATCGGTAAAAGGGCTCGAACGATGGTTAACTGACAAATCGCCACGAATGATGGTGTTTACGTGAGTAAAAAGTCTCTTTCAAACGCTCAAATAACGTTTAAACGGCGTCAATAGGGCTGATTATGCTGAGCCTATGGCAAGGTACTTCCGTTCAATGAACAGGAACAGGAAGTTCATGTCCAACAGCTCAGATGGCTAAATAAAAACATCCTGTGCAATTGAATTTTTCGAAATAATGGGGATTGTTGTTTGGGCATTGTTGACGGCGGGGGGGATTGTGTCGATGGGGGAAGGGGGGTTGGACTAATTTAAGACGTAGGGATTATGGTTGGGGTTGGGTTGAGTCGTGCCACTGAGAGGACTTTTATTTTTTTGGAGATTTAAGAAAAAAAATGAAAATTAGGTAATTTTTTTGGGATTGATTTTTTCATTTTTTGATGATTTTTAGTTTTGTGATAACTGATGTTTTCAACATTTTTTTGATCAACGAAAGATTCATTTTCGAGGATTATGTGAAACTAAAAATCGTTGGAGGGCATGCTTTTGTGAAATTCTCAGCAGTTTAATGGTTTTTGTTGGAATTCTTGTTTATTAATTTGGGTTTACAATGGGTTTTTTTTTTTAACAATAATTCATGTCGAGGGGATTAATTTAAGATGTGGGGATTATGTTTGGGGTTGGGTTGAGTCGTGCCACTGAGAGGACTTTTATTTTTTTGGAGATTTAAGAAAAAAAATGAAAATTAGGTAATTTTTTTGGGATTGATTTTTTCATTTTTTGATGATTTTTGGTTTTGTGATAACTGATGTTTTCAACATTTTTTTGATCAACGAAAGATTCATTTTCGAGGATTATGTGAGACTAAAAATCGTTGGAGGACATGCTTTTGTGAAATTCTCAGCAGTTTAATGGGTTTTTGTTGGAATTCTTGTTTATTAATTTGGGTTTACAATGGGTTTTGTTTTTTATCAATAATTCATGTCGAGGGGATTAATTTAAGATGTGGGGATTATGTTTGGGGTTGAGTTGAGTTGGGCCAGTGAGAGGACTTTTATTTTTTTGGAGATTTAAGAAAAAAAATGAAAATTAGGTAATTTTTTTGGGATTGATTTTTTCATTTTTTGATGATTTTTGGTTTTATGATAACTGATGTTTTCAACATTTTTTTGATCAACGAAAGATTCATTTTCGAGGATCATGTGAGACTAAAAATCGTTGGAGGACATGCTTTTGTGAAATTCTCAGCAGTTTAATGGGTTTTTGTTGGAATTCTTGTTTATTAATTTGGGTTTACAATGGGTTTTGTTTTTTAACAATAATTCATGTCGAGGGGATTAATTTAAGATGTGGGGATTATGTTTGGGGTTGGGTTGAGTCGTGCCACTGAGAGGACTTTTATTTTTTTGGAGATTTAAGAAAAAAAATGAAAATTAGGTAATTTTTTTGGGATTGATTTTTTCATTTTTTGATGATTTTTGGTTTTGTGATAACTGATGTTTTCAACATTTTTTTGATCAACGAAAGATTCATTTTCGAGGATTATGTGAGACTAAAAATCGTTGGAGGGCATGCTTTTGTGAAATTCTCAGCAGTTTAATGGGTTTTTGTTGGAATTCTTGTTTATTAATTTGGGTTTACAATGGGTTTTGTTTTTTAACAATAATTCATGTCGAGGGGATTAATTTAAGATGTGGGGATTATGTTTGGGGTTGGGTTGAGTCGTGCCACTGAGAGGACTTTTATTTTTTTGGAGATTTAAGAAAAAAAATGAAAATTAGGTAATTTTTTTGGGATTGATTTTTTCATTTTTTGATGATTTTTGGTTTTGTGATAACTGATGTTTTCAACATTTTTTTGATCAACGAAAGATTCATTTTCGAGGATTATGTGAGACTAAAAATCGTTGGAGGACATGCTTTTGTGAAATTCTCAGCAGTTTAATGGGTTTTTGTTGGAATTCTTGTTTATTAATTTGGGTTTACAATGGGTTTTGTTTTTTAACAATAATTCATGTCGAGGGGATTAATTTAAGATGTGGGGATTATGTTTGGGGTTGGGTTGAGTCGTGCCACTGAGAGGACTTTTATTTTTTTGGAGATTTAAGAAAAAAAATGAAAATTAGGTAATTTTTTTGGGATTGATTTTTTCATTTTTTGATGATTTTTGGTTTTGTGATAACTGATGTTTTCAACATTTTTTTGATCAACGAAAGATTCATTTTCGAGGATTATGTGAGACTAAAACTCGTTGGAGGGCATGCTTTTGTGAAATTCTCAGCAGTTTAATGGGTTTTTGTTGGAATTCTTGTTTATTAATTTGGGTTTACAATGGATTTTGTTTTTTAACAATAATTCATGTCGAGGGGATTAATTTAAGATGTGGGGATTATGTTTGGGGTTGGGTCAAGTCGTGCCAGTGAGTGGACTTAATTTTTTTTGGAAATTTGCGACGAAAATGAAAATTAGGGGATTTTTTTGCGATTCGTTTTTCCATTTTTTGACTATTTTTGTTTTTGTAAAAATTGATGTTTTCAAGAATAAGTCATATTGGAAGGGTTAATTGAAGCCACGGGGATTATGTTTGCAAACCATAGGATTATCCTTAAAAAATAAATTATTTTAGAATCAGACTTTTCATTAAAAGCTATTTGTTGCAGGTTTTTCTGCTGGCGAAATTAAATTTATTGAGCGAAAATGCAAACCGAAGTGCTTGGTTCGAACGATATAGAGGGATTGACTGCAGACAATTTGATTCCTGTAAGTAGAATTTTTTTTCTTTTCTAATTTTTCAAGTGAAAAAGTTCCTGTGATGGAATGAATGGGAAATTCGATTCCAAAGGTAGAATTTCAATGGGATGAAATGTGAATGTAACAGAAGTCACCCTGAATGTGCACCTTTTTCATTAATATAAAATTATTTGACGGAATTCAGTAGCGAAGCGATAAAACAGTTCAAGTCCACTTGGCTCTTAGCCGAGTTTTTACGAAATATCTCCGAATCCAAGGGAGATAGCGAAATTGTTGTCATTACTTTTTTTGTAGAGCGAATTAAGAGCTACAAAAAAGGTTATAACGAAAATTTCTCTATCTATCTTAGATTTCGAGATATCCATCGAAAACTGACCAATACTCAAAGTCGCTACTGAATTATGTCCTCACAGGAACAGTTTCACTTAATTATCTTTCATCTCTCAATTTTCGAATCTGGAGACGTGATATTAACACGAGAGATAGCACTAACATTGGTGAGATACGTTTGACATAGGTGGAATTCCTATTTCGTGATGATTCACAACGATCGCGTTCACAGGATGCCCTGTCCATTGTTGAATTAGGAAAACAACTGTTGCTGAGTGCTAAGCATGGAGAGACTGAGACTGTCAGAGATCTCATGTGTCGAGGGGCACCCTTCACAACTGATTGGGTAAATAAATATCTGCTTCATATTTTACATTTAACATTCCCATAAAAAACCAAGTGGACAATTGCACTTTTTAATAAATGAGCATCGTTATCGTTGCTAATAAATTAGCAATTTGCTTCCGAATGGGTTCTCTTTTTTTAAATTCTTATTTCACTATTCTCTTCTTCTATTTTTTCACGTCACAGGACTATCATCAATTGAAATGTCATCAAAATTTTGCGTATTATTTCGTTCTGTCAAATAATTCTACATTCAGAGCAAAAATTGAATTCTCACATGTTAAATCTTAAATTATCTCAATAACAGGTCATCTTACGAGAAAATGTCACAAGTCATTTTTCGTTGGAAATTTAATTCTCTATAAAAAATGTTTTCTGACATTTTCTTCTGAAACCGTTCATTTTCGAGATAATTGCATAATTAACGAAGAAAATTCAATTTTCCAGTTTGTTCTTCATTTTTTTTGGTAACAGACAAATAATTTCTGATTATTTTAATGAAAAAATAATGAATTAATTGATTAACGATCAATTATCATAGACAATGAGGTTCTTTTACACTTTGCATAATTGAAATAATTTTTTTTCTCTAGTTGGGAACTAGTGCTTTGCACCTCGCAGCCCAGAGCAACCACGTGGACACAGCAGAGGTGCTCCTTCGGGCCGGAATATCAAGGGACGCCAGGACGAAGGTCGACAGGACACCTCTGCACATGGCTGCCTACGAGGGACACCACGAAATGGCAGTCCTGTTGCTGAATTATGGGGCTGATGTGGACAGCAGGGACATGGTAATATTTCATTTCTTATCGCTTTTGTGGTGACTGTTGGGTGATCAAAAAAAACTCGGTTCATGCTAACAAAAGGCGATTTAAAAGAGAAAATCGGTTTTTTCATGATTACTGAAAGAATCATCAGTAATAGCAATTAAATCAGGGCTTGAAAAGTATATTTCAATGGCTTCTTAATCAAGTTGAAAAATGGTGAGAACAGCATCATTGCTTATCAAGTTACACAATACCGTCATGAGCTTTTTATATCAAAATCTCAATCTCTATTAAACTCAGGTACCAGTCTATTATGTTGAATACTTATTCCTATTGATTCATGGTCCCGACTAACTTCTGACAGAACCTGGGTTAAACTCTGCCTAAATCCTGAATAAACCCTGATTAAATCCCGGGTATACACTGATTAAACTTTGATTGAACTTTGATTAAACCCGGACTGAAAACGAATTCGAGTCTTGAGAGGCTCTGAATGTAGAATTATTTGACAGAACGAAATAATACGTAAAATTTGATGACATTTCAATTGATGATAGTACTATGGCGTGAAAAAATAGAAGAGAATAGTGAAATAAGAATTTAAAAAACCCATGAACCCATTCGGAAGCAAATTGCTAATTTATTAGCAACAATATCTATACTCATTGATAAAAAAATTCAACTGCACTTGGCAAAATAACTTGAGATTGTTTACTTAAAAAATTTATTTCTCAATTCAGAATCTAATTTTTTGGCTTCATAATTAGAAAATCTGTTTTTTTTTGTGAAAATTGAAAGACTTGAATTTCAAATAAATCATGTCAGATTATTTAATTCATTACGAACTTGTTTGAAAAATTAAAAAAAATAATTTTCAGTTGAGAATGACTCCCCTCCACTGGGCAGTTGAGAGAGAACACGAGGAGGTGATGCACGTCCTCCTGGATCATGGGGCTGACGCAAATGCCATAAGTAAATTCGACAAGACCCCCATTAGTCTGGCCCTAGAGCACGACAGACTGGACCTAGTGGATATTTTGCAGCAGGAGCGCGAGGTCCTGAGTTTGCGAGAGGAAAAACAGAGACAGGCTAATACAGCTGAGATTGAGGAAGCTACTCACAGTTTGATGAAGATGCAGGAGGCTGAGAGGAAGCAGGAGCAGCAGCAGTTTGAGATGCAGCAGCAACTGCAACAGAAACGAAAAATACAGCAAGGTTAATGAATTCATTAATTAATTTAATCAAAGACTTTATTTAAGTCAATTTTCAGGTTTTAGGAAAATGGTGTCGATTGAATTTTCAATTTATCTCGATAACCGGTGGTTTTAGAGGAAAATGTTATAGCAACTTTTTTGTGGAGAATTAAATTCCCAACAAGAAATGTTTCATGATATTTTTCTCTAAAACCGCTCGTTATCGAGATATTTCAACATTTTCAATTGATAATTTGAATTCAAAATGCAATTGTTTTGTGTTAACAAATATTTACGTATATGACAATTTATTTAAATAATTGAAATTCTTCTGACAATTGTTTTTGATCTGATGATCATGTGATTCAATCAAAATTATTCAATTAATTAATTAATTGATACGAAGATTTTAATTAAATTAATTTTTCCGTTTTGAGAAAATTGTGTCGACAGAATTTTCAATTTATCTCAATAATAAGTGGTTTTAGAGGAAAATATCATTGAAACTTTTTTGTGGAGAATTAAATTCCCAACAAGAAATGTTTTATGATATTTTTCTCTAAAACGACTCGTTATCGAGATATTTCAGCATTTCACTTGATGATTTCCAATACAAATTCAATTTTTTTTGTTGAAAAACATTTTCACTTGTAAAAAGTCATTTAAACAACTGATATTCTTATGAAAATAGGTTTTGTGGGTGGAACAATCATATGGTTTAATTATATTGATGAAAAATTGGCAATTCCCTCAGGAAAATTCACTTTTTTGCGTTTTTATAATTTTTTTTTTCATTTTTTTTTTGCAAAAAATGGGGAAATTCATGTTTTCGATAATTTTTTCAGCCCAACCAGTGAAAAAACAGAAAGTTCTCTTTCAACCGATCCACGTATCCCCATCGAGTGACGACGAACGAGAGAAAGAGGCAGAGTTGGCGGCTAGAATAAGTAGCATTGAAAATAGTACATTTAAGAAGCGTAAAGAGTTGGGGGGACTGAGTGGTCTTGAACAGCCACTTCGGTTGCTCGAGGCACACGGAATTACCATGATTCCCGTTGATAATGATGCTAGTATCGTCGAGAATGCGATGGAAAGTGGGAGGACTGTTGTTTTAACAGGTAAAACATTTTCATTTCACTGCGACGAATTTTTAAGAATGAAAATAATTAAAATGGAATGAAAAAGTTCAATTTTTCAATGACAATGTCGATTCTCCCACCGTTTAGAAGCTGGAAAATTAGCGTTAAACTTGACGAGAAACTCGTCAATGTCAGGGAAGAAACTTCAGGACGTGCAGATCGGTGGCACAACGTACAAAGCACGGAGGAAAGTCATTGCCATAAGGGCAGATCAGATTCTCAACAAGAGTCAGCCCCCCCTCACTCCGAAAGGACCAAACATTCTCAAGAGAAACACAGCGGACAAACCAGGAAAACTATTTTTAACTCCTATTCCTAATAATTCCAACAATTCATCCAACGTAACGACTCCAAAACCAACAATTACACCTAAAGTTCAGGTAAAAATATTTTAAATCATAAATAACTGAATCCTGGAATCAAAATTGAAAATTTCATTAACGAGTTTTTTTCAATGTTCAATTTCGCAGAATTAATTATCAAATAATGAGGAATATTTCGAAAATTTATTAATGAAAGATGAATTATTTAGACCCAAAATGTGAAATTGAAAAATAAAAAAATCCTCACACCCAAAAGCCCATTCAAAGCAAAAACAACAATTCTCCTGAAAGTAAATAATGATATCAAATTATAAAAATCTAAATGATAATTTAATTACTTAATCTCCACAATTTTCAACTTCAAAGAAATAATTATCCATGAATAAAGAAATTTGGAGCTTTTGTGGGGATAAAAAATTGAAAACAAATTATTACAAAAGAAATAATTCAAAAAATTATTTTTGAAAATTTTCAGCTTCAAAAAATTAATTATCACTGAAGAAAACCTATTTCGCACTTTTGAGAATGAAAAATTAATTATTTAAATTCAAGACTTGAGAAGAAAAAATTGTAAAAAAAAATTTAATAAAAACCATAATTTAATCAATTATTCTTGTAAATTTTCAGATTTAAAAAATTAATTATCAATAAATAAACCTATTTCGAACTTTTGTGGATGAAAAATGAATTATTGAGATTCAAAACTTGAAAACAAAAAATTGAAAAAAATTATTTATTTCAGAAAAAAGCACTAGAAAGTCCTCCAAAGGAAAAAAATCCAATTCTCCTGAAGCTGGACGATGATATCGAGGAAATAGAAGAGGAATCATCAGCAGCAGATTCCTCTGAAGAACAAGTAATGGACATTGTCCTGTTGAATAAACAATTGATAGAGGCAAGAAGATTAGCAGCCGAATATCGAAAACAGTTGCAGAAGAAGGAGGAGGAGGCGGAGATCTACAAGCAGCAGTTGAAGAATATCACAGCACAAACAACAACGAAATGACTCTCTCCTGGAATTATTTTATAAATCATTTTCACTGGTTTACCTCTTCTGATTTTTTTCCTCAATTCATGTGGATTTCGTGTACATAAAGAGTCTCTTTTTGTATAAATAGTTGTACAAAGTGCCAATGCCATTGGTTAATGGTGAAAAACATTTTTGATACTGAATAAATGATTATTAATTAACTAATCATGATTGATTTCTCGTGTTTACTGAGATTTTTTGGTTTTGAGGTCTCGATTTGTGGGTTTTCGTGATATTCAAGTGACGTATTTGTCTTTCAGACGATTAATTTTTTATTTGTGGTGTGTATGAGAGTCGAGAATAGTTTTTTTGAATGGAAATTAAGGATTCGGCTTTTTCGTAATCTGCGATTACAATTTTACGTGTAAATGCCGGTGAAGTAAAGTAGATTATTTTTATATGAAAATTGGAAATGAAGACATAAAGATTGGGATGTGAATTTTGTTTGAGAACATTGTGAAAGTAATTGATAAGATTGACATTTGAATAAACTTGTTTTTATGAAGAAGTTTGTTGTGGAATCACTTTATTTCTTGCACGTGCCATAATAGCGTTGTGAAAAAACGTTTTTCGTACTGAATGAATGATTGTTAATTAATTAATCATGATTGATTTCTCGTGTTTACTGAGATTTTTTGGTTTTGAGGTCTCGATTTGTGGGTTTTCGTGATATTCAAGTGACGTATTTGTCTTTCAGACGATTAATTTTTTATTTGTGGTGTGTATGAGAGTCGAGAATAGTTTTTTTGAATGGAAATTAAGGATTCGGCTTTTTCGTAATCTGCGATTACAATTTTACGTGTAAATGCCGGTGAAGTAAAGTAGATTATTTTTATATGAAAATTGGAAATGAAGACATAAAGATTGGGATGTGAATTTTTTTTGAGAACATTGTGAAAGTAATTGATAAGATTGACATTTGAATAAACTTGTTTTTATGAAGAAGTTTGTTGTGGAATCACTTTATTTCTTGCACGTGCCATAATAGCGTCGTGAAAAAACGTTTTTCGTACTGAATAAATGATTGTTAATTAATTAATCATGATTGATTTCTCGTGTTTACTGAGATTTTTTGGTTTTGAGGTCTCGATTTGTGGGTTTTCGTGATATTCAAGTGACGTATTTGTCTTTCAGACGATTAATTTTTTATTTGTGGTGTGTATGAGAGTCGAGAATAGTTTTTTGAATGGAAATTAAGGATTCGGCTTTTTCGTAATCTGCGATTGCAATTTTACGTGTAAATGCCGGTGAAGTAAAGTAGATTATTTTTATATGAAAATTGGAAATGAAGACATAAAGATTGGGATGTGAATTTTTTTTGAGAACATTGTGAAAGTAATTGATAAGATTGACATTTGAATAAACTTGTTTTTATGAAGAAGTTTGTTGTGGAATCACTTTATTTCTTGCACGTGCCATAATAGCGTTGTGAAAAAACGTTTTTCGTACTGAATGAATGATTGTTAATTAANACACGTGCCATAATAGCGTCGTGAAAAAACGTTTTTCGTACTGAATAAATGATTGTTAATTAATTAATCATGATTGATTTCCCGTGTTTACTGAGATTTTTTGGTTTTGAGGTCTCGATTTGTGGGTTTTCGTGATATTCAAGTGACGTATTTGTCTTTCAGACGATTAATTTTTTATTTGTGGTGTGTATGAGAGTCGAGAATAGTTTTTTGAATGGAAATTAAGGATTTGGCTTTTTCGTAATCTGCGATTACAATTTTACGTGTAAATGCCGGTGAAGTAAAGTAGATTATTTTTATATGAAAATCGGAAATGAAGACATAAAGATTGGGATATGATTTTTTTTTGAGAACATTGTGAAAGTAATTGATAAGATTGACATTTGAATAAACTTGTTTTTATGAAGAAGTTTGTTGTGGAATCACTTTATTTCTTGCACGTGCCATAATAGCGTTGTGAAAAAACGTTTTTCGTACTGAATGAATGATTGTTAATTAATTAATCATGATTGATTTCTCGTGTTTACTGAGATTTTTTGGTTTTGAGGTCTCGATTTGTGGGTTTTCGTGATATTCAAGTGACGTATTTGTCTTTCAGACGATTAATTTTTTATTTGTGGTGTGTATGAGAGTCGAGAATAGTTTTTTTGAATGGAAATTAAGGATTCGGCTTTTTCGTAATCTGCGATTACAATTTTACGTGTAAATGCCGGTGAAGTAAAGTAGATTATTTTTATATGAAAATTGGAAATGAAGACATAAAGATTGGGATGTGAATTTTTTTTGAGAACATTGTGAAAGTAATTGATAAGATTGACATTTGAATAAACTTGTTTTTATGAAGAAGTTTGTTGTGGAATCACTTTTTTTTTTACACGTGCCATAATAGCGTCGTGAAAAAACGTTTTTCGTACTGAATAAATGATTGTTAATTAATTAATCATGATTGATTTCTCGTGTTTACTGAGATTTTTTGGTTTTGAGGTCTCGATTTGTGGGTTTTCGTGATATTCAAGTGACGTATTTGTCTTTCAGACGATTAATTTTTTATTTGTGGTGTGTATGAGAGTCGAGAATAGTTTTTTGAATGGAAATTAAGGATTTGGCTTTTTCGTAATCTGCGATTACAATTTTACGTGTAAATGCCGGTGAACTAAAGTAGATTATTTTTATATGAAAATTGAAAATTAAGACATAAAGATTGGGATGTGAATTTTTTTTAAGAAAATTGTGAAAGTAATTGATAAGATTGCCATTTGAATAAACTTGTTTTTATCAAGAAGTTTGTTATTTCTATAGTTTTTAGAAATTATTTTTACATTACAAATTTCATGTCTGTTTTATTCATTTAGTTATTTGTTTTTTTCAAAATTTTTTGGATTTGTCATATGGAAATCGGCGTGTATATTTTCCCCGTTTGTTTTTTAGAAATTTTTTTTTGAATTTTTGTTTTGTTACGTTATACTATATCTTATCTTATGGTTTTTGTAATCGTTTTATCATGAATGAGGAAAGACATAACAATGATAAATTTTAGTATTTGAGTATGGAGGGCGCTGTGGAAATTGAATCGAACCCCGCGATTTCATTCATAAACGCGACAATAAATACATGTATTTGTAATTTTATTTACTATTTTTTTTTTAATGGAGAATCCGAAAATCAGGAATTTTGAAAAAAATTTCGGAGTTCTTTTCAACTTTTTTCGGCTTCTCTTCTGCCTTCTTCATAAAAAAAAATAATAAAAAGTAATTGATGAATAATTTTTACGAAAATTGCATTATGAATGGAATTGGTCAGTCATTTTGTTCCAATTTTCAACTCCAAAAATGAAATTAGAAAACTGAAATATCATTTTAGAGAATTGTTTCGAGTCAAAACATCAATTTTATCACGAAATTTCGCCAGCTTCATTATAATTTCCATTAGAATATTGAAAATTGCATTTTTTAAAAACAATTTCACTCTGAAAAATCGTTTAAAAAATCTGATATCAATTGCAAAAGTTCATGTAGACCCAAAATATATCGAATTTACCGTTAAATTTCATCAATTTCATGAATATCTTGATTATAATCGTGAAAGAAAGTATTTCTCAATCGATTTTCAAATTCGTTACTCCAAAAAGTAATTGAAAAATCTAAATTAATTAACTCCATCATTATTTTGACAATTAGGACTGACATTTAAATATATCGACGAATTTTGCAATCACTGAGCTTCAAAAAATAATTGAAAAAATTAAAAAATCTATTCCAAAAATGAGTCTTGCGCCTAAACCTAAACATTACCCCAAAAGTTGAAATTTCATAATAAAATATCATGAAAAATACGATGAATTCTCCTACAATCTCTATTTCTCGACTAAAAATACAATATTTTTCCCTCCAGCCCCCCTTCCGCAAAAAAAATTTTGCCCCTGAAAACCTTGAAAAGCCAGAAGAAATCCGATTTCCCGAGAACCCCTAAGGCCCGTTCAACATTAAAAAAAAGGGAAAAAGCGATTCTAAAAAATTATCTTCAATAAAAAAACCAAATCCATAATAAAAAAATCATTTCTCAAAAAATTTTAAATTTTATCTTTAAATGTCATAGATGTGAAAATTTTCCAAAATAACCAGTAATTAATAAAAATTTACAATTAAACCCTCCAAAAATCGTAAAAAAAATAAAAAATCAAGTTCAAAAAATCCCTTCCCTCAATGACACAAATTCCATAACAAAATCCCACAACTCTACCAAAAACCTAAATATCTTCCCTTTCAATTCCCCCCAAAATCCTCCCCCCCGCGCCAACCGACAAAAATAAATAAATAATCACCTGAACCTTGGAAGTTGAGCACCGGTGATCGTCGGCTGTCCCCGCTCGATAACTCCCGCCTGGACCCGAGCATCCAAAACCTCCAAGCCCACTCGCTTCCAAACCCCAAATAACCCCCCTGAACCCCCCGAAAAGAAAAGTCCCACCCCTCACCAGACCCTCCACCCCCAGGGCACCTCCGCACTCCCAAGCCCCCCCTGTTAACCCCCTAAAAACCTCAAAAACCCGGAAAAACGCCAAATTCCCGAGAATTCCCGACGCGCGAATCGTCGTGGCGTCACTTCACTCTCGGCTCCCGTCGCCTCCCCTCGGCCTCCTTCGGTCCCCCTCGGCTCCCTCCGCCGTCACTCGGCCCTTCCCCTCCCCCGCCACTAATATTCGTCATCAGGAGGGGGTACCAGTGCCTCAACTCTCTCTCCGCCTCGCCAACCAAAACATCACCCAAAAAACAAACCCGAACCCCCGAAAAAAAAAAATTCAACTGAGAACCCCTGCACGTATATCTAGCCTATCGCGCCGCCACTCGATGCTCCAGTGGTGTGTGCGCCTAGTATTGAGGAGGGGGGCCCTTAGTATTTGCGCCTCTACCTTCTCCAATCACAAAATTATCGCGCAGAACCCCGAAAAAAAAAGCAAGTTCCCTCGAAAAATCGGCGGAGCCGAAGTGAAAAAACCCGTCCCCCGGTGAAAACTGAAATCAATTACCTCCAAACAGTGGCTAAATTCCCGTGAACTCGGACAAGTCGTATTGGTGTGGGGGGTCATGCCCCAGTGACAAAAAATAACCCCAAAGTGTCCAAAATACCCCAAAGACCGCGACCCTCCGCCGGGCAAAAAAGTGAAATAAAAAATGAAGAAAAAATCGACTGAAACAAGAGTTTGAGAATTGTTGTCACCAAGTGCACCCGAGGCCCCCGAACGTGGGGTCCCTGGTCACCCCAGTGAGCGTCCGCCGGTGTTGGCGTTATCCCAAAATAAAGTCTCCCCTCCGCGAGGGAAAAAGTCCGTGAGAAAAAATTTAAACCACCGAAAAATCCCCCAAAAATTGCCCCCCGAATGAGTGCATTCAGCCGATTGTTCGGTCCCTAGTGCCGAGTTTGCCCATTTTCTCCGTTACATGTACATGTGTGTGTGTGCCACGGACGAAGCAAAGAGGCGGCAGGAAAAATGGCGTCCGATAACGAAGCCTCCTGCGTTAGTGACCCAAATTTCGCTGTGATCTGTTCGTTTTTGGAGTATTTCGGTAAATCCTGTGGCATCAGTTACCCAGACATTGGTAAACTCCAGTCTATGCTCGAGGATAGTCACGATGGTGAGGTGATTCTGTTGGTTTATGGGGTCTAAGTTTTTAACGGAAGGGGGGTTTATTGTGAGGCTAGTGAGGGCGCGAGAGCCTCTGCGCGCCAACACACGACATCAACCAGTAACTTCCCTCCCTTTTGCACCTTGTGTTTTTATTCGGTTACACGAATTGATGTTTATTTTATTGTCTTTGGGTCGATGGTGTTTCGATGAGTTTTGGGGAGTTTTCCATTCAGTTTTGTTGTGCGAGATTTGGTGATGGGGTTTGGGGAGAGGGGAGTCGAGGGGAGGGGGGATAGTGTTGACATGATGGAGTGACAGTTGTGGGACTGGAAATTCTTGGGGATTAGTAGTTTTTGGGGGTTCTGAGGCTTGAGGAGCAGGTGAGAGTAGTTTGGGTTTAGTGAGGGGTTTTGGGAGGGCGAGGAGGTTGCATTTGTTGTTGTTGTTATTCCTTACTGGTTATATCCTTTTTATAAAAAGGAAAGTGCAGAAGGGGGTTGCATTTGTTATTTTACGGTTTTATTGTTGATTCGGGGTACAGTTGATATTTTGTTTTTTTTGCTTGATTGTTTGGGTTTTAAAAGCTTTATGATATTTTTTATATGATTTTCGAGGTCATTGGGAGATTGGAGGAATTGAAATTTTTGGTTAGAGGAGCCCAATGATTTTTTGGAGCATTCCTTAAATTGGTGAAATTGTTAGGAACCTAATTATCTAGAGTCTCAATCAAATCTCCCTTTTGCATCTTGTGTTTTTATTCAGTTACACGAATTGATGTTTATTTTATTGTCTTTGGGTCGATGGTGTTTCGATGAGTTTTGGGGGGTTTTCCATTCGGTTTTGTTGTGCGAGATTTGGTGATGGGGTTTGGTGGGAGGGGAGTCGAGGGGAGGGGGGATAGTGTTGACATGATGGAGTGACAGTTGTGGGACTGGAAATTCTTGGGGTTTAGTATTTTTTGGAGGTTTTGAGGTTTGAGGAGTTGCTGAGAGTAGTTTGGGTTTAGTGAGGGGTTTTGGGAGGGCGAGGAGGTTGCGTTTGTTGTTGTTGTTATTCCTTACTGGTTATATCCTTTTTATAAAAAGGAAAGTGCAGAAGGGGGTTGCATTTGTTATTTTACGGTTTTATTGTTGATTCGGGGTACAGTTGATATTTTGTTTTTTTTGCTTGATTGTTTGGGTTTTAAAAGCTTTATGATATTTTTTATATGATTTTCGAGGTAATTGGGAGATTGGAGGAATTGAAATTTTTGGTGAGAGGAGCCCAATGATTTTTTGGAGCATTCCTTAAATTGGTGAAATTGTTAGGAACCTAATTATCTAGAGTCTCAATCAAATCTCCCTTTTGCATCTTGTGTTTTTATTCAGTTACACGAATTGATGTTTATTTTATTGTCTTTGGGTCGATGGTGTTTCGATGAGTTTTGGGGGGTTTTCCATTCGGTTTTGTTGTGCGAGATTTGGTGATGGGGTTTGGTGGGAGGGGAGTCGAGGGGAGGGGGGATAGTGTTGACATGATGGAGTGACAGTTGTGGGACTGGAAATTCTTGGGGATTAGTATTTTTTGGGGGTTTTGAGGTTTGAGGAGTTGCTGAGAGTAGTTTGGGTTTAGTGAGGGTTTTCTGGAGGGCGAGGAGGTTGCATTTGTTGTTGTTGTTATTCCTTACTGGTTATATCCTTTTTATAAAAAGGAAAGTGCAGAAGGGGGTTGCATTTGTTATTTTACGGTTTTATTGTTGATTCGGGGTACAGTTGATATTTTGTTTTTTTTGCTTGATTGTTTGGGTTTTAAAAGCTTTATGATATTTTTTATATGATTTTCGAGGTAATTGGGAGATTGGAGGAACTGAAATTTTTGGTGAGAGGAGCCCAATGATTTTTTGGAGCATTCCTTAAATTGGTGAAATTGTTAGGAACCTAATTATCTAGAGTCTCAATCAAATCTCCCTTTTGCATCTTGTGTTTTTATTCAGTTACACGAATTGATGTTTATTTTATTGTCTTTGGGTCGATGGTGTTTCGATGAGTTTTGGGGGGTTTTCCATTCGGTTTTGTTGTGCGAGATTTGGTGATGGGGTTTGGTGGGAGGGGAGTCGAGGGGAGGGGGGATAGTGTTGACATGATGGAGTGACAGTTGTGGGACTGGAAATTCTTGGGGATTAGTAGTTTTTGGGGGTTCTGAGGCTTGAGGAGCAGGTGAGAGTAGTTTGGGTTTAGTGAGGGGTTTTGGGAGGGCGAGGAGGTTGCATTTGTTGTTGTTGTTATTCCTTACTGGTTATATCCTTTTTATAAAAAGGAAAGTGCAGAAGGGGGTTGCATTTGTTATTTTACGGTTTTATTGTTGATTCGGGGTACAGTTGATATTTTGTTTTTTTTGCTTGATTGTTTGGGTTTTAAAAGCTTTATGATATTTTTTATATGATTTTCGAGGTAATTGGGAGATTGGAGGAATTGAAATTTTTGGTGAGAGGAGCCCAATGATTTTTTGGAGCATTCCTTAAATTGGTGAAATTGTTAGGAACCTAATTATCTAGAGTCTCAATCAAATCTCCCTTTTGCATCTTGTGTTTTTATTCGGTTACACGAATTGATGTTTATTTTATTGTCTTTGGGTCGATGGTGTTTCGATGAGTTTTGGGGGGTTTTCCATTCGGTTTTGTTGTGCGAGATTTGGTGATGGGGTTTGGTGGGAGGGGAGTCGAGGGGAGGGGGGATAGTGTTGACATGATGGAGTGACAGTTGTGGGACTGGAAATTCTTGGGGATTAGTAGTTTTTGGGGTTCTGAGGCTTGAGGAGCAGGTGAGAATAGTTTGGGTTTAGTGAGGGGTTTCGGGAGGGCGAGGAGGTTGCATTTGTTGTTGTTGTTATTCCTTACTGGCTATATCCTTTTTATAAAAAGGAAAGTGCAGAAGGGGGTTGCATTTGTTATTTTACGGTTTTATTGTTGATTCGGGGTAGAGTTGATATTTTGTTTTTTTTGCTTGATTGTTTGGGTTTTAAAAGCTTTATGATATTTTTTATATGATTTTCGAGATAATTGGGAGATTGGAGGAACTGAAATTTTTGGTGAGAGGAGCCCAATGATGTTTTGGAGCATTCCTTAAATTGGTGAAATTGTTAGGAACCTAATTATCTAGAGTCTCAATAAAATCTCCCTTTTGCATCTTGTGTTTTTATTCAGTTACACGAATTGATATTTATTTTCCTTTTTTTTGGATTGATGTCGTTTGGGTTTAGATTTATTTACTGATATTTTTCTTGTTATCAGATTAGAAAGGGTGGACACATTATATAATCTGATAATATTGATCTTATCAGATTAGAAGGGGTGGACAGAGGAAGGTGACCGAGGGAATGTCTGTTTTTTTAAGGTTCAGAGGACATTTTTAGAAAGTAGAGAAAAATCTAAGGATTGATTGATATTTTTCGAGCATGAAAATTGTTTTTTCAAACAGGAAAATCATCTTTTTGAGAATTCTGGAAGAAACTGAAGGGAATGCAACACCCAGATGCTTTATTTAATGTTGATTCCAATCATGATTTTTTTCAAATAAAGTTTTTTCAGTTTTTTTCATAAAAATCAGAATGCACATGATATAGATTTTTTTTTATGGGAATATTTTCTCCGCAGAAATTTCAGTATTTTTTGTGAATGTCGAGATATTTGAGAGAAATTGAAACTTCAGAGAAATTGAATTATCAATTTTAACCCTTCACAACTGATTTTTTCTATTTTTACTCCGATATTCGGGGAAAATTCACGCGAATTTTGCGTGTAAATATTGATTTTAAGGTAATCGAATTGTTTCTGGTTCCAGTGCCCCAACCACTGATAGATCTCCACATAAAACTTCTACGTAAAACACGAAAGAGCGTGTCAGCCGAAAAATGGGAGAAGGCTCTTGTTAAATTTTGTCATACGTACTCCAATCAGGATGGCTGGGAAGTGGAGAGATTCGGATACAAAAAAGTCCGTACTGCTGTTAAAGTTCGGTTACTGAAGGTAAAATCATCAAAACCACGACTTTAATCTCCAAAAAAATGCAAAAAATACACAAATCCAAAAATTGTGTTCACATCAATATGCAGATATCTCGAAAACTATTGATTTTAGGAGAAAATTGCCCCCGACATTTTTTGTAGCTTATGAAATTCTCTACAAAAAATGTTTTCTGATATTTTCTCATAAAATCACTCGCTAGCGAGATAATTCACAAATTAATCATAAATGAGCAACTAATTTTTAAAGAAAGTAAAAAAATCATTCTTTATTGATTTGTTAATTGTCTTGACATTGAGAGGGTTCAGGATAAAATGTCTGAAGGTTTTTTTAGAATCCATGAAATGCTCTGCAAAAAATTGTTGAGGAATAATTGCAAAATAATAAGAGAGAATTATTTTTTTACTTGTTTTTATCCTCTTTTTTGAAGTAAAATGAATATTGGATTTACTTTATGATTTTATGAGTTGATGAAGGGATTAACGAATATTTTTCGAACATTTTCAGGTGCTTTTGGAGTCACAGTTTGACTTGAATCAAAAATTCAAAAACGAAGTGAACAAATTATCTGCGAATGAGCTGCGACTGGAGCCACTTGGACGTGACAAGACTGGTCAATCTTATTGGTTCCAGTTGGACGAGGAGTGTAATATGAGAGTTTATCGGGAGGATCTGGATGAGGAGAGTTGGGAGTTGGTTGCCAAGTGAGTGAATAAACGTTTGAATACCCGAGATCCAGAAATTTTGGGATTATTAATTGTTATTTTATGAGATGAGAGGGCTCTACTGATTATTCTTTCTAGAAATGTTTCTTCACATGACGAAACCAATTGAATTTTGAATATGATCATAATTTTTTTAGTGTATTTATCCAAATGAATTGTTCGAACATAGAAATTGTCTCAACGAACAAATCGGATGACAAATGTGACTTTGAAAAATACATGTTTGTTAATTATGCTGTTATCCCGGAAATTAGTAATTTTAGGAGAAAACGTTAGAAGACTTTTTTACAGCTTTGACAATTTCCAACAAAAAATGTCATCTGAGATTTTCTCATAGAATCACTCATCATTGAGATAATTTCATATTTAGCAAGTGTTTTTCAAAAAAAAAGGAAAAGAAGGATTGTTTATTGCATATGAGATAAAATTTAATTATGCATTCATCTTGGAAACTAATGGTTTTCGAAGAAAGTGTCGAGAGATTTTTGTTGTAAGGGAGAACATTTATTTCATGACTGAAGCGGTTCTCTACGACTTGATTGAAGTTATCTTCTTCGTGTTGAGTCAAACTTGACTCCGTTCCAGAATGCAAGTCTCCGCGACTCGATTCAAGTTATCTTTTTCCTCATCTCGATTCCAAATTGACTAAATTCAGGATTGTGAGTCTCCACGACTATATTCAAGTCGTCTTATTCTTCATCTTGAGTGAACTTGATTCAATTTGAGACATGAGACACTTGATTCAAGTTACGTTCTTCTCATTTTGTGTAAAAATTGACTCGAATCAAATATGCGAGTCTCCAAGACTTGACTTAAGTTGTTTCCAAATTTATATCATTTTGTGACTGAAGCAGTTCTCTACGACTTGACTAGAGTTATCTTCTTCGTGTTGAGTCAAACTTGACTCAGTTCCAGAATGCAAGTCTTCGCGACTCGATTCAAGTGATCTTTTTCCTCATCTCGAGTCCAAATTGACTCAATTCAGGAATGAGTCACCACGACTATATTCAAGTCGTCTTATTCTTCATCTTGAGTCAAACATGATTCAATTTGAAACATGGGACACTTGATTCAAGTTATGTTCTTCTCATTTTGTATAAAACTTGACTCGAATCAAGCATCTGAGTCTCCAAGACTTGACTCAAGTTCTTTCCAAATTTATATCATTTTGTGACTGAAGCAGTTCTCTACGACTTGACTAGAGTTATCTTCTTCGTGTTGAGTCAAACTTGACTGAGTTCAAGAATGCAAGTCTTCACGACTCGATTCCAGTGATCTTTTTTCCTCATCTCGAGTCAAATTGACTCAATTCAGGAATGTGAGTCTCCACAACTTTATTCAAGTTGTCTTATTCTTCATGTTGAGTCAAAATTGGTTCAATTTGAGACATGAGACACTTGATTCAAGTTCCCCTCGCACTGAGAGAAAAGATAAGCTCCACCGAAAATCTAGATACTCCACCTAAGAATATTTGATGGAATGGAGCAGACTTACTTAAATCAAGAAAACGAATCCCCCTAAATTAAAAAATCCCTCATCACCACCATCTTCTCCCCCCAGGGATCGCGAAGGCGTCGTGAACCTCATCACCACCCTGTCAGACGGTGAGGCAGCTTCCATCCCCATTAACGAGGACAGCAACAGCCTGGAGATCTCGGAGAAGCCCATCACCGACACAGGCCAAGTCACCTCCTCCCCCTCCCTGGACTCTGATCCCCCCGAGAACGGTGACACCTCTCCCCCGACCCCCTTGAACCCTCCGAAACCTCCAAAACCCATCAAGGACCCCGAGCCCCTGGACTCAGACTCGTCAGAGGCGTCAGACCTCACCCATGACTCCTCCAACCCTAGCCAGGACGACTCCTCCCAGGACTCCGAGGCACCCCTTCCCCTCCCCCTCCCCTCAAAAAAGCCCCCTTTCCACCCTCCCCTCATCCAAAAGTCAAAAGCAGTCCCTTTGAAACCCCTGAAGATGTCGAAGCCTCCAGAGCCAGTAAAATCAGTTCTGAAGGCAATCGAAACCCCAGTGATAACGACTTCCCCTCCAAAACCTCCACAGAGGCACCTCCAGGCGTCATTCACACTGTCAGAACCCCCGAAACCTCAGAAATCTGTGGATAAACTGGCGTCCACTCTCTCTCGTCTGCAATCGGAGAAGGCAGGGGTCTCCAAGCTCGAGAAAATAGCTGAGAACCTGGCGAGAACATCAGGCATATCAATGGCGAATGGAGAGGAGGACAAACACCCACAGGACTTCACCAGGACCAGGGGAATGGACTTGACAGCTCCGAGAGGGTTTGTAGTGAATTTATTTGGGGAAGGGAGGGTTTGGGGGTTTTTAAGAGGAGTTGGGAGAAGCTTGGTCTAGATAATCTTTCCTAAATTGGAGATTTTTGGTTCAAATTTCCAAGATATCTCCAAATTCAGCTCGAATGGACGAAAAAAATTGTCTCCAGAAGGTAGGCTTGGATGACTCAGAATCGTCTGAAACGTGGAGATTTACTATTCCCTCAAGACGTATTCATAAAAATCTTGGGTTCGAAATTGAAAAAAAATAAAATTCAGTTCAAATGGGCCAAAAAAATTGTCTCTAAAAGTTAGATTCAAAAGACTCAGAATTCCTTGAAACGTGGAGATTTACTATTCCCTCAAGACGTATTTATCAGAACCGTTGCTTCAAAATTGAGAAAAAAATAAAATTCAGTTCAAATTGACCAAAAAAATTGTCTCTGAAAGTTAGGCTCAGATGACTCAGAATCGTCTGAAACGTGGACATTTACTATTCCCTCAAGACGTTGTTATCAGAACCGTTGCTTCAAAATTGAGAAAAAAATACAATTCAGTTCAAATTGACCAAAAAAATTGTCTCTGAAAGTTAGGCTCAGATGACTCAGAATCGTCTGAAACGTGGAGATTTGCTATTCTCCCAGGAAATGTTTATACGTTCCGCAATTTACTTTTTATCACTTGTGCGCAAAGTGAAATTTTACGCACGTTCCGCGTGCGCAATATCCTACTTGCCACACATCGTGATGAAAAATAGGGTTTGATACTCGTGGGAAAAGTATTTTTTGACCCTTCGGAGGGTAACATTCGCCTTCGGCGAGCGCTACGCTCATTCTAGAGGTTAAAAAACACTTTTTTGTGGTACCTGTCTGAAAAATTCACTTTTTATCACGCAACTTTGCGTGCCTAAAACGTCCCTTTTCTACACATTGTGATGAAAAATGTCGTTCGATACTCACGGGAAAAGTATTTTTTGGCTCATGAGGCTCATGCTATAAACCTCCCACGAGCCAAAAAACACTTTTCCGCACTCGTATCGAAATATATTATTTGGAAACCGTTTAGTGCGCGTAAAGTGTTTGTTTTCACGCACGGCGTGCATAAAGTAAATTTTTGTGCGTAAAGCTTCGTTTTACTCAAAATTTACTTTTCATAACTTGTGCTTAAAATTTCACTTTACGCACAAGTGACGAAATCCGTAGCGAACTGGTAAAACGGTTTAAGCCGACTAATCTCCCAGTTTTGTTATTGGGGAATATTTCCGAATCTAAGGGAGATGGCAAAATTTTTGTAATAACTTTTTTTGTAAATCGAATTGAGAGCTGCAAAAAAGGTTGAGACAAAAATTTTGCTACCTGGCTTAGATTCCGAGATATTCATTGAAAACTGGCCAATAGTGAAAATAGACTTGAACCGTATTACCACTTCGCTACTGAAATATACAATTTTATCCCTTTCATCACCTCCCCAAGTACTCCCCTCAATCAATAACCTGATTTACCCTCCAGGTTCGACCCATCGAAGGACCCCAGCCGTCCAGTGGACTTCTCAGGAATGGACCTGAGTAAATCCTCATTCAGAAACGATATCCAAGCGCGTGAGATCGACCTCTCCACGCGGAAGCCCAAGCCAGACCCCATGAGCTACGGACCCCTCCACCGTAGCACAATGGACCTGAGCAAACGACAATTATTTGGCTACGACACGTACCACCAAAGACAGAAGGACGACCACAGGCTGGCAAATTACTCGATCCTCCCAGACCCCAGCAAACTATCGATGCGAATGAAGAGGAGTCACGAGGACGAGCCAGAGATGGTAAAGCGCCTGAGGACTGATGGAGTACCAGTGAGAAAAAGGAGAGACGATCCTGGCCCAGCCATCGAGGAACCCCTAATGATGATCCAGGGTGAGGGCTCTGGATCTGATTGCGACGCTGTAAATCCTCACCCAGAAACACCTGATGACCCCGAAATTGGTGAAGCCATCGAAGACACCTTCTTCTTCCAGGGTGAGGGCAGTGGTGCTGACTGTGACACTGGCAATCCCGGTGAGGAGGCATCCAGTGACAATAAAGAGAGCAATGAATCAAAAGACAACAGTGGAGAGGTCAGGAAGGACGTGGGGATAAAACCCCTCGTCAACGATTGCGAAGAGGAGAAGAGCAACTGTCAGGGTTCCTCAGGCTCACCAAAAGCCAAGTTCAAGCCGACCCTCGGGGTCCAGGTGTTCACCAAGACACCTGGGGGCAGCTCCAAGAGGCTCTCCAGGTGGGACGTCAGGGAGACCGACGAAAAGAGAGAGTGCGACAGCAGCATCACTGGAGACGACACAACCGTCATTTCCGGGAATGATATCGATGGTAAATCCATGGCCGAGGGGATATCCAGCACGACGAGTCAGAATTCCGTGACTTCCTCGAGGAGTTTTGAGGTCTCGTCAGCTGGTGCTGGTGCTGATGAGGCAGACGATGCTCCCAGGTTTTTTTTTGGGCCGAATTGCGTGTCGTACACTTCAGAAGCTGCGGGGAAGTGTCCAGGGGGCGACGTCGTGGGGAGTGAAAGCCCTGGAGATGTTCCTGAAGGCCCTGAGCCCTCGACAGCATCAGAAGGTCCACCAGAGTCGTCGCAGTCTGACGATCCCCAAGACGTCGTGACGAATTCTTCAGAGTCCAGGGTCCAATCCACAGGTGCTGACTCCTCTGAAGTCGTTTCCACAGTTCCTGATGATGGAAAAGCCCCTGAAGGGGTGGGAGAACCTGAGACAACAGCAACTCCTGATGATTTAGGGGGTCTGGAGGAGGGGATCGACTCCACTGGGGGGGAATCCGTGCTTCCGGAGTCCTCTGAGGCCTCAGGATCTGCCGAGTGTACTGTGGATGTGGCACCAGCTCCTATTGTCGATGGAAATGCCCTCAAATCGCCTGAGAGGATTAATATCGCTCAGGAGGAGACTTCTGAGGGGAAAAATCCTGATGCTGATGATAACAGGAGTGTCTCAGTGGATCAGGACTCCAATGAGGCTATGGTTATTGATGACAGGGGCTCTGACTCCAATGAATCGACTAGAGATGCTGGAAAGTCGGGCCAGGGCTCAGGGGCAGTTGCTGCTGATAGCTTCGGGGAAATTCCTGAGGAGCTGATGCCCTCGGATATTTCTCCCACCACTAAAGAGGAGGAGAGGGAGCTGGATGAGGCTCTCGAGAGCATCGACACTGATTCCAAGCCCCAGGCTGACACGAAAGGTGATGAAGATGATTTAAAAATTGAAGCAGCTGGGGATGTCGATGGGAATGAGACAATTGTCGAAGAATTATCGTCTAAAAGGGAAGAAATTCAGGATGAGGTTGAGAAGTCTGAGGAAATCTCAGTGGATAGTGGGGAGAATGCGGAAATTGGAGAGGAAATTCCAACGAAAAGTGAAAATGTCGAAGGTGAAACAGATAAATCTGGAGAATTTCGACAGGAAAATGAGGAGAATCGAGAAGTCGTTGATGAAATTCCATCGATAAGTGAAAGTGTTGAACCTGCGGTTGATGAATCTGAAGGAATTTCACCAGAAAATGAGGAGAATCCAAAAACTCCTGAGGAAATTCCATCGAAAAGTGAGAATATCGATCCTGAGGTTGAAAATTCCGTGAAAATGTCCCCCGAAAATGAAGAAAATCCACAAATTCCTGAGGAAATCCCATCAAAAAGTGAAGATATCGACCCAGAGTCTGAAAAAACTGTCGAAATTTCACCAGGAAATGAAGAAATCCCATGGAAAACTGAAGATATCGAGCCTCAGTCCGAAAAAACCTCCGAAATTCCCCCAGATCTTCCCCATGAACCCGAGGAAAATCCTCAGGATGAGCCTCCCCCACCCCCAGAGGAAGAAATCCAAGAGGAGAAGGCCCCAGAGGACGTGTCCTCCCCCTCTGATGCCCCTCCCGCCCCAAAACCTGAAGAAAACCCCTCAGAAATACCCCCAACTCCCCCAGAAGTCCCACCAAAATCTCCAGACCCAGTCATCCCCTCTGAGGACGCAAAAAATCCAGAGGTTTCTCCCCCAGAAGAGGTTCCAGTGGAGCCCCTGCCTCCCCCAGGTGACGTCTACTCAAAGCCAAAACCCTCATTAGTCTCCCAGGCATCACTGGTGGCTAATTACGGAAGTGATGACTCGAATCTACTTGGCAGTGACGATGTCTTCGAGGCAGAGGTGCCTCCAGGGCCAGAGGAGGTTGGATCCACCCCCGAAGGTCCAGAGAATATTCCTGAGGAAGTTGAATCTGTTCCTGAAGCCCCAGAAGAAGTTCCTGAGGTAGTTGGAGCCACCCCTGAAGCCCCAGAGGCACCTCCAGAGGTGGAAAATCGCTCTGAAGCTCCAGGAGATGCCCCTGAGGACGTGAAATCCCCTCGTGAGGGTCCAGAAACGCCACCAGAGGTGGAACCAGAGGTGGAACAACTCCCAAAAGCTCCAGAAACCCTCCCAGAAGAGGTTGAATCGACTCCTGAGCCCTCAGGGGATGCTCCAGAGGACCCGACACCCTTGGAAATTCTCTCTGAGGACCCCCAGCAAAAAGAAACACCAGAGTCTCCAGGAATTACCGAGGAACCTCCACCAGTCGATCCCCAGGAGCAAAAGGAAACTGAATCTCCCCCTGAGCAAGACCAAATCGATGATAAACCTGAGGTGTCCCCAGCACCTGAAGAGGCCCCTGACCTGGACACGCCCTTCGACTCCCCGGACATGTTTGACTCTTCAAAACCAGAGACTCCAATTGAAATCGACAACCAAGACATCGAGAAGATCGCAGCGACACTGAACCAGGACGACGAGGATGACGACGAGCCACTAGAGTTTCACATCGAGACGAAGGAATCCCCAGCTCCCTGTGAGGAGCCCGAATTCCCCCAGGAGATGTCTGACACCTCGAGTTGTCAGCCCCCAGAGGAAGACTCGAAAGATCCCCCAGGTCTCCTGGAAGTCAAGCCTGAAGACCCTCCAAAGCCTGAGGATCCTGTGGACAAGCCCTTGGAGCCACCACTTCCTGAAGTCGTCGAACTTGAAAAATCTGAAGCTGAACTAGCCCCAGAACCCCCTCGGGAACCCGAGGATCCACTGAGCGAAAAGATTGAAGAGCCACCAGTAGCTGCAGTCCTCCAGGTGCCCGACCCCAAGGAGAAGACCCCCGAGCCCCAGGTGATCACGATAAACGACTATCAGAAGAAGGATCGCGAGTCCGACGAGGACAACTCGCCAATCCGTCAGGTGTCGAAGCGTCCTCGAACCGAGCCAGAGGTCAAGCCCCTCAAAAGGTCCCCAGAGATCCCCCAGAGGGAGCGAAACTCCCTGCAGGAGCCCAAGCCCGAGAGAAATCTCCAGAACCAGAAGCCCCTGGAGGAGCTGAGGCCCCAGATAACCCTGGCCCTGAGCCAGGAAAAACCCGACCTGAAGAAGGAGGCGAGCAAGCGCCTGCACCTGGAGCAGGACCCGGAGGACCTGCCCCCCGTAAAGTCTCGCCCCAGCAGGACAGACTTCATCAAGGACCAAGTCAACGACATCAAGGAGGAGCAGAAGCCCGAAGAGCTCAACAATCTGGAGGGTCGCCTGAACCCTGGGGCCTTGAGACCCCCTGAGCTGGCAATCACCCACCTGAACCTCTCCGACGACTCCGAAAACTCGATGGGAATCGACAACTGCATGTACGACCCACCCCTGAACAACGTCGACCCCCTGGCGACTGACGAGCCCCCAAAAACGGAGGTAGACCCCCCAAAACCCGAGGTAGAGCCCCCAAAACTGGGGGTCATAAAGCTCAGAGAAGTCAGGGAGCTGCAGTACGCCAACTGGAAGATGGATTCACCAGAGCCCCAGTCCCCCCAGCCCCGCGGGAGGCCCTCGCGAAAGCGTCGTAACAGCGCCAACGACTCCAACTCCGAGGAGCGAAGTCATCCCCAGGAAGCCGAGGACGCTGGAGGCAAGAGGATGAAACTCCGTGGGAAACGAACGCCAGACGTCAAGCTGAGGAAGTCGGTGGAGGCGAACAGGGTGGAGGCCAGCTCCGACGAGGACGCGCCTCCCCTGTCGGAGGTGCTGAAGCTGGTGAGCAAGAAGGAGGGGCTGGAGCCCCTGACGGAGGTCAAGCCCAAGGGGAAGAGGGGGAGGAAGCGAAAGGGCTTCAGGGGGAAGGGTCGACCGCCGCTGGTGAAGAAGGAGCTGCCGGCGGTTGTCGATGTCCCCAAGCCCTCAGAGCCGAAGACGGAGGAGACGCCTCCGGCGCAGAAAAAACGAAAGAAACGCAAGATGGTGCTGGGGCTGGAGATTGGGATCGACATCGTGGAGCCCGACGGCCAGCAGAACCCCGGGGAGACGCCGGTGCGTCAGTCCCGGAGGATCGCCCAGATCAAGATCAAGGAGGAGGCCGACCGCCGGAGGATCGAGGAGGAGAGCATGGAGAGCGTGAGGCCCACAAAAGGGAAGAAGGACGACGGGAGGAGCAAGAAGAAACGCAGGAAGCACAAGGACTCCGACGAGGAGGTGCGCATTCGCGAGGTGGACAGATTCCTCAAGGAGAAGCAGAAGGATAAGGAGAACGACAAGGACAAGGACAAGTCCAAGAAGAAGCGGAGGAAACGCAAGAAGAAGGAGGTGATGATGAAGTTCAACGAGGCGAAGCCCTGGCAGAGCTCCTCAGGCTCGTCCTCGGACACCGAGGAGCACGAGGAGGATGAGGAGGAGGAGCCGGAGTCGGAGGGCTCCCTCCTCTTCAAGAGCGACCACGAGTTCTCCCCCGAGAGCGACCTCGAGAAGGACGCGGAGTCGGAGCCCCTGAGGCGCGCGAGAACCGCGCAGAAGTCGGAGGAGCGGCCGGAGGAGGCGGACGAGTACGCCTGCCAAAAATGCGGGAAGGCAGATCACCCTGAGTGGATCCTCCTCTGCGACACCTGCGACAGGGGCTGGCACTGCAGCTGCCTCCGGCCAGCGCTGATGCTCATCCCCGAGGGCGACTGGTTCTGCCCGCCCTGTCAGCACACCCTTCTGATAAACAAACTCCGAGAGAGCCTCAAGACTTACGACCAGAACGTGAAGAAACACGAGAACGAGGTCCTCAGGAAAAAGCGTCTGGCTTACGTCGGCATCAGTCTCGACAACGTCTTACCGAAGAACGAGGTCGGCAGGAGGTCGAAGACCAGAGACGCTGGGGGGGACAGTGAGGAGTCCGAAGAGGAGAGTCGAGAGGAGTCTGGATCAAACGCGGGCTCCAACTCCAACGGATCGTCCTCGTCCTCGTCGTCAGGGAGTGGCTCCTCGTCCTCGGAGTCCAGCAGCGAGGAGAGCGAGCCCGTCTACCAGCTGAGAGAGCGCAGGTGCGCCAACACCTCCTACAAGTTCAACGAGTACGACGACATGATCAACGCCGCCATCCAGGACGAAGTGGAGGCGGTCCAGGGGGCGGGCAACCAGGGCCGGGGGAAGGACATCTCCACGATCGTCAACGCCGAGAAGGAGGAGACGCAGGAGGCCTTCGAGAAGCAGAAAGGAGCCGCTGAGGATGAGGCTGACAAGCACTCGGGGAAGGACAGCGACAAGGATTACGCTGTGGAGAAGGAGGAGGACGAGGACGAGGAAGAGGAGAGGAAGAAGGTGGTGGTGCGCAAGTCCCTGGGGAAGAAGAAGCACAGGAAGCTGAACAGTCTCGACATCAGCAGCGAGGACGACCCGGAGTCGGACGAGGACTTCAAGGGGAGCAGCAGCGACTACGAGGAGGATTACGAGGACCAGATGATCTCCTCCGACGACAGCTACACGGACACCAGGAGAAAGGGAAAGCGTGATGCAAGACCTGTGAGGAGGTCCACGAGAGCAGCTAGAAGACAGAGATACGACGAGGACTTCATCAATGACGACAGCGACGATTCAGATCGCCCGAAGCGCAAGAAGTCGAGGTCCATCTGGGACGAGGAGTCGGAGAGTGAGGAGAGCGACAACTCCTGGAGGTCGAGGAAGAAGAGGAGCAAGCCGTCGTCGCTCCCTCGACTCCGTGCAGCGCCGAAGAGCAAAGGGAAGAAGAAGAAGAAGAGAAAAAGGATTGTGCAGATGGAGTCTGATAATGGGTCTGACAACGATGGAGAGGAGGGGAGAGTCGAGGCACCCCAGGAGGCGGCTGCTGAGCAGGAGGAGCTCCCTCCGAAGCTCGATGAGCCTGAGGAGAAAGAGGCAGTCGAGGCCCCTGCGGTTGAGGAGGTCGTCAAGGAGGAGAAGCCGCCGGTTCTCCAGGAGCAGAAGCCTGAAGGGGTGACTGAGACTCACGAGAGGAAACTTGCTGAAGAGGGGTCCGAAGCCCCTCCGGAGAGCCTCGAGGACGTCCCCCAGGATCAGCCCCCGGAGCTCCTTCCGGAAGCCCCGGAACCCGAGAAAAAGAAGGACAAGAAGAAACGGGAGAAGCCGATTCGCAGGAGAATCATCTACGGAGGGCTTCCTGAGGACCGCCCTCCGGAGGACGATGAGCCCCTGGGGAGGAGGACCCGGGGGCGGAAGATAAATTATCAGGTGGACGCGATAATGTCGGACAGCGAGGAGGAGCTGAAGAAGGCGCTCCGTAAGACGGAGGACAGTGAGGACGAATTCGTGATGAATGATGGGGAGGATCATAAGAATGATGCTGATAAGAACTCGGACTCCGCTGACGATGAGTACTCGCCGCAGAAGATGGCGGGGGCGAAGCACAAATCTCCGAAGAACCGGAGGTCGAAGAAGAGCCCGGCAGGAAGGAAGGCTCCGGACAATGGGGAGCCGAAGCAGAGGAAGAAACCGGGGCCAAAGCCAGGTTTGTAGGGGATTTATTGAATTACTTTCCAGTGGAAGCATTTTATTCGTTAAATCGGAAATTTCCTATTTTTTGCGTCAGGAGTTTGAATGTGTTATTTTTCGTTTTTTCGACGATAACTGAAAAAATAGTTAAATGAATCCAATTGTGATTTAAAATACTCTTCTCAATGCCATCTTGACCGAGTTCGATCATGAGGTTGATTACATCATCTGTTGTTGAAGTCATTTATTTTGAAAGTAATATTCTGGGAGAGGTAAAAAATTTTAACGTTGGGACAATGTTGGCATTCAAGGTTGGGACAATGTTGCCTGCCAGTGTTGATGTGATATTGGCTACCAACGTTGGGACTATGTTGGCTGCCAATGTTGGGGCAATGTTGGCAGTCAAGGTTGGGACAATGTTGGGGAAATGTTGGCACAACATTGGGACAATGTTGCCTGCCAGCGTTGATGCAATATTGGCTACCGATGTAGGGACTATGTTGACAGTCAAGGTTGGGACAATGTTGGCACAACATTGGGAGAATGTTGCCTGCCAGTGTTGATGTGATATTGGCTACCAACGTTGGGACTATGTTGGCTGCCAATGTTGGGGCAATGTTGGCAGTCAAGGTTGGGACAATGTTGGGGAAATGTTGGCACAACATTGGGACAATGTTGCCTGCCAGCGTTGATGCAATATTGGCTACCGATGTAGGGACTATGTTGACAGTCAAGGTTGGGACAATGTTGGCACAACATTGGGAGAATGTTGCCTGCCAGTGTTGATGTGATATTGGCTACCAACGTTGGGACTATGTTGGCTGCCAATGTTGGGGCAATGTTGGCAGTCAAGGTTGGGACAATGTTGGGGAAATGTTGGCACAACATTGGGACAATGTTGCCTGCCAGCGTTGATGCAATATTGGCTACCGATGTAGGGACTATGTTGACAGTCAAGGTTGGGACAATGTTGGCACAACATTGGGAGAATGTTGCCTGCCAGTGTTGATGTGATATTGGCTACCAACGTTGGGACTATGTTGGCTGCCAATGTTGGGGCAATGTTGGCAGTCAAGGTTGGGACAATGTTGGGGAAATGTTGGCACAACATTGGGACAATGTTGCCTGCCAGCGTTGATGCAATATTGGCTACCGATGTAGGGACTATGTTGACAGTCAAGGTTGGGACAATGTTGGCACAACATTGGGAGAATGTTGCCTGCCAGTGTTGATGTGATATTGGCTACCAACGTTGGGACTATGTTGGCTGCCAATGTTGGGGCAATGTTGGCAGTCAAGGTTGGGACAATGTTGGGGAAATGTTGGCACAACATTGGGACAATGTTGCCTGCCAGCGTTGATGCAATATTGGCTACCGATGTAGGGACTATGTTGACAGTCAAGGTTGGGACAATGTTGGCACAACATTGGGGCAATGTTGGCAGTCAAGGTTGGGACAATGTTGGGGAAATGTTGGCACAACATTGGGACAATGTTGCCTGCCAGCGTTGATGCAATATTGGCTACCGATGTAGGGACTATGTTGACAGTCAAGGTTGGGACAATGTTGGCACAACATTGGGAGAATGTTGCCTGCCAGTGTTGATGTGATATTGGCTACCAACGTTGGGACTATGTTGGCTGCCAATGTTGGGGCAATGTTGGCAGTCAAGGTTGGGACAATGTTGGGGAAATGTTGGCACAACATTGGGACAATGTTGCCTGCCAGTATTGATGCAATATTGGCGACCAATGTTGGGGCAATGCTGACTGCCAATGTTGGGGCAATGTTGGCTGCCAGCGTCAAGACAATGTTGATGCAATATTGGTTAATGCAATATTGGTTACCAACGTTGGAACAATGTTGACTGCCAACATTGGGACAATGCTGACTGCCAACGTTGGAACAATGTTGACTGCCAATATTGGTACAATGTTGGTGGCCATAGTCGGGGAAATGTTGGCAGCCAACATCGGGGCAGCGTTGAGTGCCAACGTTGGGGCAATGTTGGCTGGCAGCGTATTTCTAAATGAATCATTGAATTCAATTACAAATACGTCTTTCTCATTTCCCACCTTTTTCATCTGGCATTCATTAGAAAAATGTATTTTTTGGACTAATACGTCTATATACCATCGGGTAATTGAAATCAAAGTATGAATAAACTCCAGTCGAGTCGCTGAATGTAGCGCGGAAAAATAAATTCAAAAACCCTAAAAAAAATTATTCACCACTGATAATAATGCCCAGATATTCCACGATAATCAATGAAAACCCCCGAAAAAGTCCCTGAATTGCATTGCATTTTCCCGTTTTTGCAGGCAGCAAAAACAAGCCTCGCTTATCAAAATCACCGGGTGGCAGTATCACCCTGGAGGGTACCCCGTCAATCGGCGAAGTGGAGGGCAGCCTAGCGAGCCTAGCCCCAGAAGAGCTCGGTGATCTCAACGACGAGCAGCTGGCCCAGATGATGATGGAGGATGAGGAGTACGGGCGTCGTCAACTGGAGCTCGCCGCCATAGAGATCGCAAAGAACAAAAAAAAAGAGGAGCGCGAAGCGAAGAAATTGGAGAAAGCGCGGCAAAAAGCCCTGGAGATCCTCGCAGCTGAGCAGCAGAGGGACCCAAACGCCCCAGAGGGAGCAGAGGGTGAGGCCCCGAAGAAGAAAAAACGAGGTAGACGAAGTAAAGCGGAGATTCTGGCTGAGCAGATGAGAAGAGGAGCTGACCCAGCCCTGGCAGTCCTCCCACCGACGGTTCCAGGGGTGCCACCAGCGGTTCCAGGTGCATCAGGACCCCCAGCAGCTGCAGCACCCCCAGCCCCAGGGATTCCCCTCTCCGTATCCCCAGGAATGCCATCCCTACCAGCAGTCTCCATCCTCCCAGTGGACCTCGAGCGACCTCAGGAGCACCTCATCCCCAGTCAACTGATCACCGGACCCGATGGACAGCTGCTGAACCCCGACGGCTCCCCAGTGAAACCAAAAAGACGAGGTCGAGGCAAAGGGAAGAAGACCCTGGCCATGGAGGCAGCCCGAGCCGAAGCAGCCGCCAAAGCTGCTGGCCTAGTGGACCCCGAACTCCGTTCAGACGACACCTCCAATGTTCTACCAACACCTGGCAGCTCCACCTCAGGATCAGCCCCATCAACACCTCCACTGACCATCACCCAAGTCCCAGTGAGCCAGCCATCGCAGTCGATCTATCCATTGCCTAGTCAACAGTCTTCCGTTATAACGAGAATGCTCCAGTCCCAGCCGATTTCCTCAACAGCACCTCAGTCATTTACAGCAGCAGCTGCTGCTATGGGTCAAAAGTACTTCGGCGTTCCCAATGCCAGTATGATGGGGGCCAGGGGGGGCTACGACCTCCCCAGGGGGCGCATCCCCTCCCCCTACAATTCGAGGCCTGGGGGGCCGGGACTTCCGGTGCACTTCGCTGTGAGGTCAGGGGCACCGCCCATGAGAATGAGGGTCCCAGGCCCCTCTCAGCTCTATCACACCCCCCATCACCCCATGGATCCCTCGCCAAGTGGTGGGGGGCCCATTTCCATCACCAGCAGGGACAGAAGTTCACCTTTGGCCCCTGGCCCAGCCATGATTCCACCAGCTGCTGGCAGTCCCCTTGCCAAGGGGGGCCCGACCCCTCCCCCACCCCCCTATGCACGAGGGGGGCCTCTCGCCAGATTTGGGGACAATCAGATTGCCACAAGGCATCCAATTCCACCGTTCACAGCCTCTGGCAATCACTCGGTGCAACAGCCATCACCACCACCAAATAGACCCGGTAATTTCTCCCCTTATCATCCACAACCACCGCCCAATTATCATTACGGGGCGTATCCACCACCACCAATGTCCAGTGATGATGCTGCCTATCAGGGATCACCTTATCCAAGTGAACATTTTGCCAATCAATCGGAAAATCCACCTGCACCCACTGTCCAAGCGCCACCTGCAACTCAGGCGGGGAGCTCGCAGGGGAGCCATAACTCGGGACATTCAACGGGGAATCCCCCTGGGGAGGGGCCACCGCCCAATCCTCAGGGGCACGGACCTCATGGGAAGTACGACGAGGAGGGGAGTGGGGAGTTTGGGGGCCTAGTTTCTTACTTCAGCAGCCAACGAGAGGATGATCTTGATTCGTAGCATGAGTGAACTCTTGGCCAACAGATTTAATGAGGGGGACTCATGATAGCTTGATGTGGATGTGGGGGAGGGGGAGTTGGTTGTTGGTGAGTGGTCGAGGAATTTGCAACGGTTTTCTGGACTCGAAGTAGTATTTTCTTTTTAAATTGTGCATTTGGAGGTTTTAGGAGGAAAATTCTTGGCTTTTTTTGGGGAGATTTCAAATGATGAGGACAGGAGTTTTTGGGGAGTCAACGGTTGGCGAGATTGTTTGAGATTTGATGAGGATTGGTTTTTATTAAGGGGAGAATTTTTTATGGAATTGTGAGAAGAAGAAATGTCTTGAAATTTTTGTGGAAGTCAGTAATTCTTAAGATGATTCAACATTTAACATCAGTTAAATGTTAATCATTTAACATTTAACATCAGTTTTTGTCTAGTATTCGAAATTCTAGATTTTTTTTGCTGATTGATACATCAAGAGGGATTTAAAACGATTCAGTTGGACTCTGAGAAAACTCTGAGTATTTTTTTGATAGAATAGAATAGAATATGGTTTATTTGATGCCTTATCAAATTATATCAAATTATTCTCGAACTAAAATATGTAGATTTATCAGGTAATCAAAAATTTTATACATTTTCTATTTATTGCACATTACTTCATTCATTATTCTTATCATTATTGTCATTATTTTGATAATGGTGCATTTATGTTCAAAGCTAGGGGGTTTTAGACAAAATTCTTGTTTTTTAGAGGAAATTTGAAATGAAAAAGACTTGAAGTTTTTCTGGAGTCCACGGTTGGCAAGATTATGTGAGATTTGATGATTGTTTTTTAAAGTTCGTTTATTAATCTTGGAAACTAGTGATTTTGAGGGGAGAATTTGTGATTGAATTCTGACCACAAGAAATGTTTTGTCATTTTTTAATAAAATCACTAATTCCTAAGATGATTCACCATTTAACATCAGTTGACTTTTCGAAAACTATGAATATTTTTTCATAATTGTGCATTTATATTGAAACTCAGGAGTTTTTCAAATAAAACTGACTTCGAGGAGTTTTTCTGGAGTCAATAGTCAGCAAGATGAATCTATCTTGGAAATTTCTTCTGTTGATTGTTCATTATTCTTGGAGACTAATGATTTTGAGAGGAGAATTTTTTATTGAACTCTGACAGCAAAAAAAATCTTGACATTTTTTATCAAGATCAGTAATTCTCGAAATCATCAGTCGTTTTTTCCCCTCAAGCATTTGAAGTTCTAGATTTTTTTACTAATTGAAACGATTCATTTGGATTTTAAGAAAACTAAATATTTTTTGATAATTGTGCATTTATCTTGAAAGTTAGTGGCTTGACGAGAAAAATTCTTGGGATTTGTTTCTTAAAGTAAGAAATTTCCAACAAAACAAGTCTCTGCATTTTTTCCGCAGTCAACAGTTATTGAAATTATCTGAGATTTAACAAGAATTATTTTCTTAAACTTCATAAATTGGTTGAAATTTCTTTTGTTGAGACAAACGGTCAACATTTCCTCAAAATTCTGCATGATTTTTTTTTGTTAATTATACATTTGTCTTGGGAACTAGTAGTTTCAGAAAAAAATTCATAAAGCCTTCTGAATTTTTAAGATAATTCAACATTTAAGAACAGTTGATGTCCTCTAACCTTCACAATTCTCCGTTAAAAAAATGACTTCTCCGTTCATCTGGGAAACTATTTATTTTGAAAGGAAATATAAAAAAAAATTTCTAGCTGTTGAAATTCCACAAACAATTCCTCGACATTTTCTCTTGAATCGTTAATTTTCGAGGGAATTTAAAATTCAAAAATGATTTCAAAAAATCTCTAAATTTCTTGATTTTTTATGAATCTCAACAACCGTCGACTCAAAATACGATCTTCGCAACTAAAAAAAAATCCACCAAAAAAAATCTGAAATTTTCTCCCAAAACTCCTCATTACCACAGCAATTTAACACTCAACAAGCCAGAGAAAATCATTTTACTCCCCAAGCCCTCCCACCACTCCACCACCGAATGATCTCGAAATTCCCATGTGATTATTGGTAAGTGCCATTTTTAAATCATTCGCTATCATTGTGAGTTGGGTTGGCCAAGTACCTATTACTGACGATCGAAAAAAATGAAATTCAAAATGATTTATCAATTCTAATTGTGACTTGACTGCGGGCAAAGCAATAAGATTGACCGACGAAGAAAAAACTTGAAAAAACATTCTATAAAAAACTATGAAAATCCCTGATTTTCCAAACAATCGACTATTTTCCGAATTCAAAAGGGAAAAAAACACGAGAAGTCGGTCATGCTTGTAACGACAACCTGTACATATGTAAATACGAGTGATTCCTTTAGATTCTATATTACATGTATTATATAAACAGTCATAAACGAAAAAGGGGAATATGAAATAAACCACGAGTTAGTGCAAAAGGGCACAAATGTAATATTTAAACTAATGAAATGAAATAACGGCATCTGATTATCGATGATTAACAAAAAATGGTGTGAAGACTACTACTATAACTATTTATAAAAAAAAAAAAGATTAAGAATTTATATTAGGAGTATATTGTATTTTACAGAATTTTACTTGGATAATTATTCTATATGAAATATGAATAAAAAATATATAGTTATGGAGATCCTGGGGGGGAGCTAATGACGAGAATCACGACTTGAAAGTGCAAAACATTTAATTCTCCTTAGAGAAAGAGAGATATTCAAAGAATAAAAAAATGTATCGAAAAGTTGGTTATTATTAAATTGAGGGGCATCGGGAGTATGAAAAAACTGAAAGTCTGAGGTGTGAATTCTCAGGCAACATGTGATGGAAAAATCGGAAATATGGCTTAAAAAATTTGTTCCATTTTATAGAAACGAGATGGAGTGAATTGAGGGTGATATGAAGTGTGAAATAATTTTGAGAAATGTTTGAACATGTGAGGTGGAGGCGCCGCCATCTTGGAAGCCCCTTGGCACAGAGCAAAATGGCGGTGCGCGACACCTGTACACCACCTCCTATTTTCGAACTGTTCTAAAAATGAGTTATGATGGCACATGGTTTAAAAAAATTGTTCCATTTTCTGGAATCTGAATAGAACGAATTGAGGGTGATATAAAATCTTCAATAATTTTAAGAAAGGTTTGAAAATGCGAAGTGGAGGCGCCGACATCTTGAAAACCCCTTGGGGCGGAGCAAGATGGCGACGCACACACTTATCCGCCACTTCGCATTTTCGAACACTTCTTTAAATTATTTATGATCTTTACAACATTTCCAACTTATTTCATCCAGTTTCCGGAAAAGGAACAAATTTTTCAAGCCATCCTTCCGATTTTTTCATCCTTTTTTGCCCTGAGAATTAATGGCGCAGTTTTTCCCTCATTTCCATACTTTTTTCCCACCCGAGGCCTCTTAATAATGATCTCGTAATTAGAATAAAAAAGCATGGAGTCCAGAAGTTTTGCCCTTTCGAAAATAAACGATTGACGATTCATTGATTTTCCCCCAGCTAAATGCAAAACCGATAAATGGTTCTGCCCAGCAAAATCATATATCTGTTTAGTTATAACGTACATGCATATACCTAATATAAATAGAAATTATCGATGAAAAAGGATATTACATTATCTTAGAATTAGCAGCTTGGGATAGTTTTCTATTACTTTTTTCCTCCTTTATTTTTCGTGAAATTATTCACTAGATTACGAGGTGAAACAAAGGAGATAGAGATATATATATTTGATTGTAATCATGATTTAATGGTTTAATTTTATGATTTTTACACTCGGCAAGAGCCGATTATCTGATTGTAGACGAAATCAATGTACAATCCGTATTTTTCTTCCTTGAAATTTTTTTCTTGTTCTTCTGAATTTGCGCTCCAGGCATTACTGTGTCCTTATTTACGATGAATACATCTTCCAGTTGATTTTTTTTTCTTTCATTACGGCCAATGGAGAATCTTTTATACCGATGACGATGTGCGATTGCCTCTTGATTGTCTGGAGCGCAGGTTTATCAGTTTAATGTGGGGAAAAATATGGGGCTATGTGGCAGAGGTGCAGTTGAAGCTTTTTTTCATTTCAATAATGGGTCTAGACCAAACGCTATTATATTACATGTTGTAGCCTAATTACAGACGTTTTGTAATAAAAAAAAAACATTCAGTATATATTGATGACTGTTCTTTCTTATCCTTTCTTCAATTGATTATTCTATTATCTGTTTTAATAAAGATAACACTTATAAGTGTTATCCTGGCTAATCGAGATCCTGGGCACACATGGAGAAAGAAACAACCCCCCCCCCATAAAAATCATTGTTTCGAATCGTGAAAAATTTACTCATTTTCAGAATTCTACCAGAAATCAATTTCATGCCTAAAAAAATTAGATTTCTAAAGTTTAAGCAATTTCAATTATTTATTTACAAACAACGAATGTTGAAAAAAATAATAATTATGTGCAAAATGTAATTTGAGTGACACTGAATATTCATGATTTTTTTAAAAATTTTCTCACGCAATTTAATTGACAAATTTGATGACTGATTGTCGTTAATAGAATTCTTATACAATTCCAATAGAATTTCTTAGACAAAGCTTTCGGTTTTTCCAGCAAATTTCTCACACATGTCGCATTCAAAAAAATACTCGGTGATAAGTATCACCGCGCATGCGTACATGACGGCTACGACCCTGAGTAAATCATGAAAGCTCCGGGTTTGTCGTCATAATTGGACTCATGGGGTTGACAGAGACCGCAGAAAGCCCTTTACAGGAATAAAAAAAATATGTGAGTGTTTCTTGGAACATTCTACCCTCATCTCTATCAAATGATGCATTTTTCAAGTCATTTGAAACGATACCCCCCCATAAAAATTATTGTTCGAAATTGTAACAAATTTATTCATACTCAGAATTTTACCAGAAATCAATTTCATGCCTAAAAAAATTAGATTTCCGAAAGTTTAAACAATTTCAATTATTTATTCACAAACAACGAATGTTGAAAAAAATAATAATTCTGTGCAAAATGTAATTTGAGTGACACTGAATAATATTCATGATTTTTTTCAAATTTTTCTCACGCAATTTAATTGACAAATTTGATGACTGATTGTCGTTAATAGAATTCTTATACAATTCCAATAGAATTTCTTAGACAAAGCTTTCGGTTTTTCCAGCAAATTTCTCACACATGTCGCATTCAAAAAAATACTCGGTGATAAGTATCACCGCGCATGCGTACATGACGGCTACGACCCTGAGTAAATCATGAAAGCTCCGGGTTTGTCGTCATAATTGGACTCATGGGGTTGACAGAGACCACAGAAAACCTTCCACGGGAATAAAAAAAAATAGGTGAGTATTTCTTCGAACATTCTACCCTCATTTCTACCAAAAAATGCATTTTTTCAAGTAATTTAAAGTCTTTAAATCCCAAAGTAATCAATGCTAACCTGCAAAAAGCCTTCATCCATCTCGAAACCATAACAACATTGATAATAGAACAGGTTGACTATTCGAAATCAATCAATAAAGAGCGAAAAAAATTAGGGAATTTGTGGAAGAGTTGATGCATATGTGATTGGTAGATTTATTGATCATCTCATGTGTGTTTTTAGAGCTGATGATGATGAGGTACTAAATAATAAACGTAGAACTAACGTTAAATCATCGTTTGAGACCTAAAAATTATAGGGAAAAATATAAGAAAAAGGCAAACACCAGATAGAATTCAATGGAGAAGTTCCCGCCGACATAAAAGAAAGAAAAATCCATTTTCCAGCCGATTATCCCTTTCCGGTTCTTTTTTCATTTGCTTATCATAATGCGAAAAAATAGGTTTAAAAAATTTTCCGAAACACATGGAGAGATTTTTCCATTACCTGAATGAGATTTCAAATTACTTTTGCTTTGCGTGCTTATTCTGATAAAAAAAAACACTTTTTATTGATCTTTAACATAATTCCTCCTCATTCAATGTTGTAATTTGTAAATTAAGGAAAAAAAATATATATAATAAGAATAAGAATGCATAAAATTACATTAATCTAATTGTGAAGACGGAAATTGAAATGAAATCAAGTAAAATAGTATAAATTCAGTAGCGAAGTGGTAAAACGGTTCAAGTCGACTCATCTCCCAGTTGAGTTTTTGACGAATATTTCCGAATCTAAGGGAGATAGCGAAATTTTCGAAATGACATTTGTTGAAGCTCTCACTCGGCTCTACAAAAAAGGTTATAATAAAAATTTTGCTATCTCCCTTAGATTCCGAGATATTAATTGAAAACTGGTCTATAGTCAAAACTGACTTGTGTCGTTTTACCACTTCGCTACTGAATTGATCTAGAATAGGGTAAGCTGCCCTGTAGATGGACGAGCTACTTTTGAATAGCAAATTACGCAAAAAAATACTGAAAAGTGAATTGTTGCTTTGAATTTTCACTAACTGTTGTAATTCTTAACCCCTGAGTGCCGATTTTTTTTTCAATTGCTAAAAAACAAACGTCCATCTACTCAGTTTGCCCTATTAAAAATCGCTAGTATTTAAAAATCGCCTAATTTTTTTATCAAAAACTTCTGGCACTTGAAAAAATTGTGTGACTCCCCTTAAATCTCGAAAAATTGCTATCAGTCACGTAATTTTCTGCTAAAAAATTCCAGACTTCCGAGGAAACCCCCAACCTCTCCACCCTTCCTAAATGGCCCTTCTCTTCACCAGCATGTGGGACTCAACGATGTTCCTGAGCACCCTGACCCCAAAATTCTACGTCGCCCTGACCGGCACGTCCTCCCTCATCTCCGGCCTAATCCTGATATTCGAGTGGTGGTACTTCCGTAAATACGGGACCTCCTTCATAGAGCAAGTCTCCCTGAACCACATCTCCCCGTGGATCGGAGGAGGGGAGACGTCCACCGAGTCCGCAAACACTCCGTCGAACAGCACTAGCACATCATCCCAGCAGAACGTCCCCGAGTGCAAGGTCTGGCGAAATCCGCTGAACCTCTTCAGAGGTGCCGAGTACCAACGCTTCTACTGGGCGACCAACAAAGAGCCCCTGACTTATTACGACATGAATCTTTCCGCTCAGGATCACCAGACATTCTTCACATGCGAGGGCGACACAGGTCAGTCGGAAAATGATTGAATATTTGGTTGTTGTCGATGCCCTTTTTCCTGGCAGATTCGATATTCCCTTTTTCAATTGACTGTTTATGATCATAACTGAACCCTGTCACCCTTAATCTGACCCTTGTGACCCTTATTCTTCCTCTCATCTCCCTGATTCTGAACCTTGAGACCTTTATTTTGACCCTTGTGACCCTTACTTTGACCCTTGTGACTTTCAATATGACCCTTATTCATGCCCCTCGCGACACATAAATTGAACATTGTGACCCTTAATCTGAGCCTTCTGACCCTTATTCTAACCCTTAATCTGACCCTTGTGACATTACCCTGATTCTGAACCTCGTGACCCTTACGACCCTCACTCCAACTTTCATGGCCATTATTTTGACACTCGTGACCCTTGCGACACTTACTCTGCCCGCATGACCCTTAATCTGACCTTTGTGACCTTTACTCTGACCCTAATGACCCCTATTCTAATCTTTATGACCCTTAATCTGACCCCTGTAACCCTTATTCTGCCTCTCATCACCCTGATTCAGAACCTTGCGACCCTTATTTTGACCCTTGTGACCTTCAATCTGACCCTTCTGACCCTCATTATACCCCTCGTGCCACATAAATTGAACTTTGTGACCCTTAATCTGAGCCTTCTGACCCTTATTCTAACCCTTATGACCCTTAATCTGACCCTTGTGACATTACCCTGATTCTGAACCTCGTGACCCTTACGACCCTTACTCCAAATTTCATGGCCATTATTTTGACCCTTGTGACCCTTGCGACACTTACTCTGCCCGTATAATCCTTAATCTGACCTTTGTGACCTTTACTCTGACCCTCATAACCCCTATTCTAATCCTTATGACCCTTATTATGCCTCTCATCACCCTGATTCAGAACCTTGCGACCCTTATTTTGACCCTTGTGACTTTCAGTCTGACCCTCATTATACCCCTCGTGACACATAAATTGAACATTGTGACCCTTAATCTGAGCCTTCTGACCCTTATTCTAACCCTTATGACCCTTAATATGACCTTTGTGACATTACCCTGATTCTGAACCTCGTGACCCTTACGACTCTTACTACAACTTTCATGGCCATTATTTTGATCCTTGTGACCCTTGCAACACTTACTCTGCCCGTATAATCCTTAATCTGACCTTTGTGACCTTTACTCTGACCCTCATGACCCCTATTCTAATCCTTATGACCCTTATTCTGCCTCTCATCACCCTGATTCAGAACCTTGCGACCCTTATTTTGACCCTTACTTTGACCCTTGTGACCTTCAATCTGACCCTTCTGACCCTCATTATACCCCTCGTGACACATAAATTGAACATTGTGACCCTTAATCTGAGCCTTCTGACCCTTATTCTAACCCTTATGACCCTTAATATGACCTTTGTGACATTACCCTGATTCTGAACCTCGTGACCCTTACGACCCTTACTCCAACTGTCATGGCCATTATTTTGACATTCGTGACCCTTATTTTGACCCTTGTGACCCTTGTCGACTCATTCTCCCTGTATCACCCTTAATCTGACCTTTGTAACCTTTACTCCGACCCTCATGACCCCTATTCTAATCCTTATGACCCTTAATCTGACCCCTGTGACCCTTATTATAACCCTACGTGACCCTTATTCTGTCTCTCATCACCCTGATTCAGAACCTTGCGACCCCTATTTTGACCCTTGTGACCTTCAGTCTGACCCTCATTATACCCCTCGTGACACATAAATTGAACATCGTGACCCTTAAGTTAAGCCTTCTGACCCTTATTCTAACCCTTATGACCCTTGTGACATTACCCTCATTCTGAACCTCGTGACCCTTACGACCCTTACTCCAACTGTCATGGCCAGTGCTTTGACACTCGTGACCCTTATTTTGACCCTTGTGACCCTTGCGACACTTCAAGCCTGACCGCTCACGAAATCACAGGTAAAGCCGAGTACGAAATAATGCAGACAGCGTGGCGCGAGCGTAACCCAGTGGTCCGGATAAAAGCCGCGCACAGCGCGCTGGAGCGCAATCCGGACTGCGCGCCCGCGTACATTCTCCTCGCGGAGGAGGAGGCGACGACGATCCTCGATGCCGAGAAGATCCTGAAGCAGGCGCTGAAAGTCGCTGAAAACTACTACCGCAAGTCCCAGAACACCCAGCACCAGGGGACGATAGCGGAGGCCATTCACAGACGCGACACGAACGTCCTGATCTACATCAGACGTCGTCTGGCCATGTGCGCCCGAAAGCTCGGTAAATTGAAGGAGTCCGTGAAGATGTTCAGGGACCTGACGAAGGAGGTCCCCCCGATCATGAACGTCCTGAACATCCACGAGAACTTGATCGAGGCACTCCTCGAGATGCAGGCGTACGCCGACGTCCAAGCGGTGCTCGCCAAATACGACGACATCAGTCTCCCAAAGTCAGCGACAATCTGTTATACAGCGGCTTTGCTGAAAGCTAGACTAGTCGCGGACAAATTTTCACCGGACGTAGCGTCCAAACGGGGTCTGACGACGGCGGAGATGTCCGCGGTGGAGGCCATCCACAGGGCTGTGGAGTTCAATCCCCACGTGCCCAAGTACCTCCTGGAGATGAAGCCCCTCATCCTCCCTCCTGAACACGTCCTCAAACGCGGCGACTCGGAAGCTATCGCCTACGCATTCTTCCATCTTGCCCACTGGAAGCAGATGGAGGGGGCCCTCAACCTCCTCCACTGCACGTGGGAGGGCACCTTCAGAATGCTACCCTATCCTCTGGAGAGGGGCCACCTCTTCTATCCTTATCCCACGTGCACAGAGTGCGCTGACAGGGAACTTCTTCCCGCTTTTCACGACGTCAGTGTCTATCCCAAGAAGGAGCTGCCGTTTTTTATTCTATTCACTGCTGGACTGTGCTCTTTTACCGCGCTGTTGGCACTTCTGACACATCAGTATCCGGACACCATGGGGTTTGTGGCTAGGGTCATTCTCGCGTGGTTCAGCCTGCCGTTTTATTATATCATGGATAAGCTGGAGTCGGTTTTGCCGAGCAATTTGTTGCAGCAGTTGTCGAGGATATAAAAGGGCTGGGGGAGGTTCGAGGGCTGCGAGGGCTTTTAAGGATGTTCGACACCCTTTTACCCAAAATTGACGTTGTTTTCATTTTTCTGGCAAATTATCGATGGGAGTGACGTGAAAAAATATCACGTTTTTGCGTTTTGTCATTATTTAATGACTGACGAAATTTTAAGGTGGTGCGAACATTTTCCTGCGTTTTCTCTAAACTTTTAAAAAGAATCACAAAACTGTAGAAAAAACGCATGAAAATTATCGCACCACTACGCAACTTCGTGAGCCATTAAATAATGACAAAACGCAAAAACGTGATATTTTTTCACGTCACTCCCATCGATAATTTGCCAGAAAAATGAAAACAACGTCAATTTTGGCTGAAAGAGTGTCGAACATCCTTAACATGCGCACGATTTTTTGAGGTCTCGCCAGTTGAAGAAACATCTCTCTTTCTGGGGGTGGAATAACGGAGGGAAGATTTCTATATTCCGTTCAAGCCGAGTATTTTATTTTTGGGAGATATTTTATTGAAGAAAATATTTCGGTAGCGAAGGGTAAAATAGTTCAAGTCGATTTTGACTATTGGCCAGTTTTTAGTGAATACCTCGGAATCTAAGGGAGATAGCTAAAGTTTCGTCGGGACCTTTTTTGTAGCACTCAATTTGCTCTAGAAAAAAGGTTATTACGAAAATTTCATTATCTCCTTTAGATTCGGAGATACTCTTCGAAAACTCAACTAATCACTTCGCTACTGATTTCAAAGAAGAAACAGAGTGAAGTAGTTATTGGATTCATTTTTATTTTCATAAAAAAGGCTTCAAAAGTCACTGGAAATTGGCCTCTCAACTTATTGTGATTTTTTGAATTTTTCTTTCGGTGATTAAATTATGATGATTGAGCTCCCGGGGTAACCCTACGTACTTAGATAAAGTTGGAACTGATGGAAACTCAGAGCAGTCTCTCTGACTCCGTCTGGCTGGGGCTCTCAATCACCTCAGGGTAGGAGCTAAAGAGACTCTGCCCGCCGAAAACGCTTTGAATGAACCAGTCTGAGACATTTCGTACTATTTTTTTAGATTTTTATTTCTCGGTCTCAAAGCTAAAATCGACACGAAATTTCGAATTATTTATTTTTATTCAGTGATTTCTCTTCAGGCTATTGAGCGTCACAATCAATCAGAATTCACTCAGGTCTTCAGTTTTTTCTCACAGAGAATTCGTTATTCTCACATCATCGTCTTCGATTTTTATAATAACTTTCATTTCTTCATAAGTGCATAATAAAAAATGGATTCAACAGAATATTTTTTTATCTTAAAAATATTTTTTTCTTTAAAAAAAATAGAGATCATTTCATCAATTTACAAGATTCATGATTTCATTCTCTTTCTGCGGAAGAATCTCAGCAAAAATAATATTTTGTTGAATCCTTTTCCATTTGAAAACTGGAAAAAAGCCATTTTTTTCTACAGATTTTCATTTCGACGCAAATAACTAGGAGTAACATATCGTTATCCCCATCGTGACTGATTTTTTTTAATTTATAGAATCTCTTCTTCTCTTCTTACGTAATGATAAGATTTCGATGAATATTTAGCATAAATGTCTGTGGCAATGTACAAAAAAGAAGAGTAACGAACAAGATACTAGAATATCTTATTAATATATTTGCTTCCTCTTGTATGTACTAATTCTTCCCTAATGGACTATCGCGCACACGAGTGAAATCGCTGTGCTTTTCACTGAGTTTTGAGGTACTGTAAAGTTACTGTAATGGAGTAATCATAATTATACAATGATTATGGAATAAATGTGGATAGAAAGCAGTTCACAATGTATTATTTCTTTATGACTTGCCCATTCATTTTTTGATAGGTTCAAAAACATTTAGGGGAGGGTGGCCCCCCTATAATTGCCCCACCCTCCCCTAATAATTGATTGTAGAATTCATCCTTTGATGGATTATTTTCTCCGTTCTGATTTCGACCAATCAGGGTGCAGTATTCGGGGCCACGTGATCCCTTCACGTGACCCCTTCGCTCTGCTCTCCTCAAAAGAGAAGAAAAAATCCTGCCGATATGGCCCAGTGGGAGTTCGTTGGGAGACGCCATATCCTGTTCTTTAACATCTATTCCTTTTTTTCCATTTTCCTTTCTTCTTTTCCTTTCTGCTCCTTCTTTTCCTTCCTTCCTCTTGTTTTCCTTTCTTTTTAGCTCTCCGAGAATTAATAGTAGTCTTAAAGACTACCAACGAACTCCGCAGTATATAGAATCAGTGGAAATAAAATCGAAGATCAGATTTAAAGTGCTGAAAGTGGAAGTTCCGAATAAATTCTTTCAAGATTTCTATACTAGCCGTGGAATTATCTTTGAAGGAAATTTAATTTTGTAAATTCAGTTCAACTTTTTGCGGAATTAAAATTGGAGATTTGGTGAAAGAACAATATTTTGGATTTTAATTCTCGGGAAAAATCGATCGGAATTCATATAATGGACACAAAACATCGCGGATACCATTGAATAACATCTATTCTTACACCAAGGACACACGAATGTAAACATCAATCATCAAGGTTCTATCAAACCGAGTGAAAAATATTTGAAATGAAATATCCTGATTTCGGGATTTCCCGAAGCATTGGATAGATGGTGTTGTTTTGATCATGTTTCACCTGTGATGTATTTTGAATTTGAAAGAGAAAAGAATTGAACGAGTAGTTGAATCAAACAAGAAAAGAAAGAAGTTTTGAACTATTCGGTACTGCCCCCTGGGGGGTGTAACCATAACCATCAATTACTTGGAGGAGAAATGGTGCTTGCCTCTACTGCTGTTAGAGGATATAACCAATTACGAATAGAATAGAAGAATATGGCCCAGTGGCGCTGTCATTCTCCATTTGTCGGAATCTTCTCGTTTGGATGAGAATCACTGCGAACAAAACAATCTGATGGACGGACGCAGAAAGGATCGGGAGCAGATTGGACTTCTCGGGGTTGATAGAATATGGGCCAAGTCTCCCACGAAACTAGAGGAGTAAGTACTCACTTTAAAAAAAATAAAAATATATCTTTTCGGTCCTCTGAAGTCTCTCGATGCCCATTCTCGTGGGGTGTTCTAACCTAAAATTACACACTCATGATAATATGAAAACATTACTGAAGAATAATGGATTTCACCGAATAATAATTTACTAACAATTGTTAATTAATTACATTTTGATCCTAAATAGGTTTAATTAAACATTTTATTTTCTTATTTTCTAGGACTGATGATGAGGATGAGGCCCTAAAAAATAAGACTAAGGCTGATTTATCACCAGAGAGCAAGAAGCGGAAGAAGAAGGAGAAAAAGAAGGTGAATATCAATTATTACTTTTTCCTTTTTTATTTCAGTGGATTTAGCAGTTTATTTTATAATTTTTTTCATTTTTGTTTCTAAAAAGTTACTTGTGCCAAACGAGTGCTCTTGAGATGAAGAATTGAAATGGAAATTTTGTCTTGAGGTTTTCGACAATTTTTTCACCTCAATTACCTTTCCTCGAACATAAATAATATTTTTTAGTATATCTCTGTGATGTTATTGAATGTTTACACATATTCTCACTTACAAACTAAAATCCATCAAAAGCTTCCCCAGAAAAGTAAACAAGTGGACAATTTTATTTTTTTGTAAATAAGGATAGTTATTGTTGTTAATAAATTAGCAATTTGCCTTCGAATGGGTTCTCTTTTTTTAATTCTTCTTTTTTTATTCTACTATCGTCAATTAGAATGTCATCAAAATTTTGGGCATTATTTCGTTCTGCCAAATAATTCTACATTCAGACCCTCTCACGACTCGAATTTGTTTTCACTCGATATTCATATTCTGATAGAATCAAGAGGGTATTGTGTTATCAATTTTTTGAGCCATGACTAATTCCATTCTGATGTCAATTTTTTGAGTGATCGTTGAAAAATCGATTTTTTGAAAAATATCAATTTTTTCGAATCTGTCAGAAAAATTGAATTTTAGTTTGTGTCAATGAATAGAGCTTATGAAAGTGTGTATTTATGAAAAAATTCATGAAATTCGATTGATCGAGGATTGACGATCTTCTTTTATAATTTCTCCCTAAAATGTTATTCATGCCGAACAAACTTATTTGAAAAAATAAATCAAGTGGAAATTTTCCTTCAATTTTTAGGCCACTTTTTTGCCCCAAGTACCTTTTACCGAGCATAAATAATATTTATTTCAATATTTTTTATAAATTTTGAATCATATTTGACTTTCCCAAATCAACTTCCTCTTCCAGAAAAGCAAAAAACTGAAGAAAGAGAAGAAATCGAAGAAAGAAAAGAAAAAACGAAAGAAGAGAAAGCGAAAATACTCTGAGAGTTCCTCAGACTCAGACTCCTCCGACGGTTCGGAGACAGTGGAGTGGGTGGAGAAAGACAAACTGATCGAGAAACCAAAGAAACGAAAGACCTCGTCATCAGACGACAGTGGAGACGACGGAATGGTGGGTCCAGTGCAGAAGCAACACGTGACACTTTCAGCGAAGGACTTCGGCAAGGCCCTTCTACCTGGTGAGGGTGCCGCCATGGCTGCCTTCGTAGCCGAGGGAAAACGAATCCCTAGAAGAGGTGAGATCGGTCTCACCTCCGACGAAATTGCGTCCTACGAATCCGTGGGCTACGTCATGAGCGGTAGCAGACACAGGCGAATGGAGGCTGTGCGTATACGTAAGGAGAATCAGATATATTCGGCTGACGAGAAGAGGGCTCTTGCCATGTTCAGTAAAGAGGAGAGACAGAAGAGGGAAAACCTGATACTGGGACAGTTCAGGGAAATGGTGACTCAAAAATTAGCTCAAGAGCAGAAGAAGTGATCGGAGATATGGGAATTGTAAATATTTTTGGGAGATGTTGCCACTCAGGGCGCTCGTTATAGTTCTAGGTAATTAATTTATTGATTAATTGATGAAGTGATTGGGAGTGAGAACTCTTTTGATTTATTGCGACGACTCGTCACGATAAGCTCAACACCTTAATAAAACCTGTTTTTATAAAATTATGTGGGTAATTGATTTTTTTTCTGTGATCATGTATATATTATATATAAGATATTCCACGCCAGATGAGTCAACCGCTGACCCTCAACCTCTTGGAAATTGATGGCGATTTTTTCTACGATTGGGGAGGTTGAAAAACTATATCTCAAATTTTTTCAGATTTTTTCGACAGCCCGAAAAAATTGAAAAAATTTGAGATATCTGTTCGGAGATATAATTTTTGTTTCGTTTTTCCTTTTTTTTTCAATAACTCGAGTTCTATCCATCCGATTTTGATTTATTAAGCGTCAAAATTTTTCTTTTTGTACTGTTTATAAAAATATTTTTAGCGAATTTTTTTTTTCGATCTCTAGATGCGCATAATAACGACTTTTACCAGCAAAATAGTAACAACAAAAAGAAGGGAAGGGTTATCCCCCAGGTAATCACGAAGAGATATGGGAATTGTAAATATTTTTGGGAGATGTTGCCACTCAGGGCGCTCGTTATAGTTCTAGGTAATTAATTTATTGATTAATTGATGAAGTGATTGGGAGTGAGAACTCTTTTGATTTATTGCGACGACTCGTCACGATAAGCTCAACACCTTAATAAAACCTGTTTTTATAAAATTATGTGGGTAATTGATTTTTTTTCTGTGATCATGTATATATTATATATGAGGTATTCCACGCCAGATGAGTCAACCGCTGACCCTCAACCTCTTGGAAATTGATGGCGATTTTTTCTACGATTGGGGAGGTTGAAAAACTATATCTCAAATTTTTTCAGATTTTTTCGGCAGCCCGAAAAAATTGAAAAAATTTGAGATATCTGTTCGGAGATACAATTTTTGTTTCGTTTTTCCGTTTTTTTTTCAATAACTCGAGTTCTATCCATCCGATTTTGATTTATTAAGCGTCAAAATTTTTCTTTTTGTACTGTTTATAAAAATATTTTTAGCGAATTTTTTTTTTCGATCTCTAGATGCGCATAATAACGACTTTTACCAGCAAAATAGTAACAACAAAAAGAAGGGAAGGGTTATCCCCCAGGTAATCACGAAGAGATATGGGAATTGTAAATATTTTTGGGAGATGTTGCCACTCAGGGCGATCGTTATAGTTCTAGGTAATTAATTTATTGATTAATTGATGAAGTGATTGGGAGTGAGAACTCTTTTGATTTATTGCGACGACTCGTCACGATAAGCTCAACACCTTAATAAAACCTGTTTTTATAAAATTATGTGGGTAATTGATTTTTTTTCTGTGATCATGTATATATTATATATGAGGTATTCCACGCCAGATGAGTCAACCGCTGACCCTCAACCCCTTGGAAATTGATGGCGATTTTTTCTACGATTGGGGAGGTTGAAAAACTATATCTCAAATTTTTTCAGATTTTTTCGACAGCCCGAAAAAATTGAAAAAATTTGAGATATCTGTTCGGAGATATAATTTTTGTTTCGTTTTTCCTTTTTTTTTCAATAACTCGAGTTCTATCCATCCGATTTTGATTTATTAAGCGTCAAAATTTTTCTTTTTGTACTGTTTATAAAAATATTTTTAGCGAATTTTTTTTTTCGATCTCTAGATGCGCATAATAACGACTTTTACCAGCAAAAAAATTTTCAGTCTCGTTAGAGGTTTTCAATGACTCACGCAAAAAGATTTGTCCACAACACCCGCTGGGTAAAATATCCTTATCTCGCTTGCTCTGTTCAATCGGCAAGTTGACAAATTCTGACCTAAACTTCGAATATCGGGACGGACCTTCCCCGCCCACTGCCCGATCGCACGTCGCCGAATGACTGCGGAAGGCAAACTCCTGCAGAAATAGGGATTACTTAGTGGTTTCTTACTCAACCACTCAGGCAACTGTTCTTCCAGATAATTGTCATCCCCTTTTGTGAAGGTCTCAAGTCCTGGGTATACATATTCCTCATTTCGTGATTTTCGACAGTTGCAACTCGCAATTTGACTCGACAATATCTAGTGAAATATAACGCATCAACCATTCATTTCCGTAATTCGGTTTCATTTATTTCAATGTTTTCGTGAATCACTGTAAATATATAAATTTTATAAATAAACTGTTTTTTACTGTGAGTAAAATTTTGTGATTGTGACTTCAACGCTTAGAACTTCGGAAGATACCATTGTGCACAGGAGCTTCTTCCATTCTCGATAAACATCATGGAATATGTACGATAAATTTATACAATTGTTCGTTATAAATTATCAGTGAATATCGCGTGTTGATTATTTATTGTATCCACAGAAGGGAATTCTCAACGTCGAGGGCAAGAAGTTTATTATCCCCCGGGATAATAACAAAGTTGGATCTTTGGCGAATTGTAATATACAGCTGGAACATCCGGTGAGTAATGAAAGAAATATTTCAGACGTAAAAAATTTTGTTGTACCCAGGGTGGGGGGTACTCATAATTATAGTAGGTTCTAGGCTTAAAGGGATAAATCCCACCAATGGTTTATCGGCATTTAAATATGAGAATTTATTACATGATTGTAATTACTGTGTCATCTGACTGATTACAAAGAGTTTACGACTTTAGTACGCGTCGGAGGCCAATTCAGGTCTATTCTGTGCAGACCCAACCGTCTCTTAAATAATACATTGATTGCTTACATTTCATCACTTGGTCAGCATAATTCAGTTACGCTGACAATGCTGTATGTCCACATATTAAACAATAACGCAATTGACCAAATCTGGGGCATAACAATTTTGATAACGGGAAATTTCCAAGAAACTTCCCCGGACTCTAAGAAATTTTCAATATTCGAAATGGTCAAAATATTGAAATTGTAGACAATCCGATCTAACTGACGAAAAAAAAAAATTATCTTGTCCATAATTTTTAAATTTTTTAATAACTTCATAGAATATTTTTTCATCTTGACTTCCTTATGTTCCAGAGCATTTCGAAAATCCACATTCGAATTGACTGGACGAAAGTGGGACTGGTTGTCACAAACATGACCAGCTCCGGCAAAACCTTTCTCAATAACGTGAGTTGGTTGATTCAATCAAAGATTTTCACCCGTAAATATTCGATATTTTAAATTATAAAATTTTCATATCGAATGCCACAGGTTAAAGAATTATTGTTAAATAAGTGTAATCAGATAAAATTTCAATGGGTACCCTCTCACAAGGGAATTCTGGGGAATGAGGAAGCGGATCGCCTAGCCAATGAAGCCACTAATTTGGCACCAAACTTTAACTATAAGTTACCATTTACTGATTTGACTGAAACTTTAAAAAAGGACTCGATTTTTATTACCAAAGAAAAAATAGAATTAACTAGAATGAACAAGGGAAAAATTCGAGGAGAGGAATACTTTCAATGGTATCACAAAACATCTAAAAAACCATGGTTCAATAAATTTATGTTCCCGAGGAGAATGATTGTATGGATCAACAGAGCAAGAGCGAACCATTATAGCCTAGCTAGCTCGCTTGCCAGGATCACAATTATTGAATCTCCAAATTGTAAGTGCGGTTGTGCTCATAGAGATCTTAATCATGTATTATGACAATGTCCACTTTATTCTATGAAGCGTGTAGAACAGTACAACAAATTACAAAAAGAACGTATGTTTCCCCCATATGATATTAGATCATTTCTCAGTACACTCAATCCTTGAGTCCTTATGGCCATTGATCTATTTGTTCAGAAAACTAAAATAAAAATCTAAGCCTCTTGCAACAATGTAACTAATGTAAAATAGCATGAGTTCAAGAACATGAGAATCTGATGTACACACTGTAAACATACAAAATGTAAATATTTTTCTGCAAAGTAAACCTTAACGGTTTAAAATGGTTAAATAAAAAAAAACACCACAGGTTCCGATGAAGCCGCTGGAAGCCAAGATGATCAAGCGATGGGAAACAACCTTGAGATTGGGAGAATTCGAGGGTCACCTGAGCCTCCACAAGAAGGCCAGGAAGATCGCCCGGACGGCCTCGAAGAAGCTCCAACAGAGCCACTCCAACGGGCCGTGCTCAAAATGCAGCAAGCACCGCATTTTCAAGATCCAAGCGGTGTTCGACGAGAAACGAAAATTCCACCTGAAATTCGTCATGCCTAAGAGGAATGTCACGAGTGGAGATGGCGCGGGTCTGAGGAGAGCAGCTCTCCATCGTTCTCTCTGTCAGAATTTCTCACATTTGAGCCTGATTACGCCGGAAGGAGACTGATCATCTACTTAATCTTGTAATCAATTCTCTGTAAATACACTTGTGAATACATTTTAATATCTAATAAAATTTTCAAGTTAAGTTTCAAGTTATTAAGTTTTAATTTGAGTTAAGTTTCAAGTTGTTAAGTTTTCAGTAATCAATTCTCTGTAAATACACTTGTGAATACATTTTAATATCTAATAAAATTTTCAAGTTAAGTTTCAAGTTATTAAGTTTTAATTTGAGTTAAGTTTCAAGTTGTTAAGTTTTCAGTAATCAATTCTCTGTAAATACACTTGTGAATACATTTTAATATCTAATAAAATTTTCATGTTAAGTTTCAAGTTAAGTTTTAATTTGAGTTAAGTTTCAAGTTAAGTTTTCAGTAATCAATTCTCTGTAAATACACTTGTGAATACATTTTAATATCTAATAAAATTTTCATGTTAAGTTTCAAGTTAAGTTTTAATTTGAGTTAAGTTTCAAGTTAAGTTTTCAGTAATCAATTCTCTGTAAATACACTTGTGAATACATTTTAATATCTAATAAAATTTTCATGTTAAGTTTCAAGTTAAGTTTTAATTTGAGTTAAGTTTCAAGTTGTTAAGTTTTCAGTCAAGTTTAAAGTTAAGTTAGCTTAAGTTTCTCTTCAAATGTACGCTAATGAATAGATAGAATTTAATCATATGTTTTCAAAAATTTCTTTTCATCACGCTGTGACGAAAAGTGAACTTTTCGGCACGCTCCGCGTGCCTAAAAGTCCAATTCCCGCCACATTGTGATGAAAAACATTGTTCGTAACTCGTGAAAAAATGTTTTTTAGCTCGTGGGATTATATCACTCGCCTTCGGCTCGTGATATAAACCTCCCACTCGCCAAAAAACACTTTTTGCTTCCGAATGGAAACTTTGTAATCGCAATTTTTTTCGATTCTTTAATTTTGCTTGGATATGACTCAGGGTGATCTGAAACGTCGACATTTGATATTTTTAGCAAATGTATGTATGTATGTGTGTGTGTGTGTGTGTGCGCATGCACATTTGTCCAGAAAGTCATCAATAACTCTGAAACTGTCTTTACGAAAAATCTGAAATTTTGGCTCATAATAGGTCCTAATGGGAGACAGACATGTGCAAAATTTCAGCCTGATCGACTAAGTGGTTCCTGAGATATAGCATTTTCTCAAAAATGGTTTTTCACGAATATCTCATCAACGGCTTTATCAATTAAAATTTTTTTTATCCGAAAATCTTTGTTTTGATAATACCTATCTTTTTGTATCAAAACCTAATGAATCCACTACGGAGAATGGGTTTTTTTTCTATTTTTTCACTTTTTTCAAAAAATCGCTTGTATCCACGATAACTCAAAAAATAATTGAGATAAAAACTTCAAACTTTGTATGATTATAGCGCCGTTGGTAACGAAGGCTGGTATTGTCGGTGGGCGAAATCGGCCCAGTAGTTCATGAGATATTTAACTTTATAATCGAAAATTCTTCCTTTAATATCTCAAAAACTACTGGACCAAATGCATTCTGCTTGCTCTCAAAATTTTCGTCTGAGTGGTGGCTATCGATGCAAATCAAAATATAGGTACCATTCAATTGAAAGTTTTCGAGATATTTCAATTTTTCTCTTTTTTTGAGATCAGATTCCTATTTTCGACTGTGAAGTGGTTTAGACTTCTATTAACGCTGTCAAATTCATCATTCATATCAGGTTGGTGTCTGGTTATTGAATTATATGGTCCTGATCATGAATGTAACGCGTGGTCAAGACAGGCCCTGAACCGGGCACCCGTGTGGGATCTTATATGGAGATCCTAGCCCCGACCTGATTCGGGGAACTACATCAGGTCCATGCTGAGTTAACTTATACGGTCCTAATTGAAAATGTAATGTGTTCAAGGGAGTTCGATCCATCACAGAAGCGGAATTGGATTTTGCAATGGAATAACTACGGATCCATTCGGAAGCATACTACCAATGGAATTAGTAGAAATTAAAAACGAGAGAAAGTAGTATCACAAAAAGCGACAGTAAAAAAGCTTCGGTAGAATAGGCTTCTACCTCTGCTTGTTTGCACTCGTTACGAAATATACTATTTTTTTAAACAGAATTTCGGAGATATCTTTGGATATTATGCTTCAAATTAATGAAATAAGGCATGAAAAAAAAAACTTTCATCATTTTATGATGAACGAAACTCATCTTGATTTATTCTCCGGCAATTCATCCCACTTCACTTTCCCTCCCGACCTCCCTATCATCAAAATCACAAAAGATTTTTAACACTGCTTCCGTATAGCATTTATCGTTTCATATAATTCTGTCCAATTAAATTACATCAGCGTATCCTCGTAAATAGAAAAAGTCACTATATGCAAAAAGTTTTATTTCTTCTCTTCATGATTCAAAAAAATTATTACACATCATTGACGGATTTTTCAATGTTCCTTCTCTTCTGCGTCTTTATCCATGAGCTCGTAAATACCACAAACTCTATTCGCCGGCACAGCTTTATCTAAAAGAATGACCAGAAATAAATGGAACAATGGGTCTTATCTGAAATGAAGGCTGTAATTCACCTAGAATTATTAAAGAGTCCTAACAAGAGTTTGATTGAAAGGAATACTTGCCAATCATTTTGGGATATGCTAAATTAAGATTCTCCATGATCCTGACGAACTCATCCAGAGATTTCGTCAACCGTGGATTGTAAGCGCGTTCTTCAGCTACTGTTGTCACTGTTCTCCCAGAGTAATCGTGGGCTGGATACAGGCGGAAATTTTCAGGTAGGGTGAATATCACTGAGTGCACGGAATTGTATAGAGTACGTGGTGAGCCGCCCTGTAGGATGGACAATCCAAAATAATTCCGCAATGGCAACATTTTCATCCTGATTTATCTTTGAAAGACTATTTCCCGAGTTAAAAAAAAACTTTACCTGAAAATCCGTTCGCCCGCAGCCGCGAATTAGGAGAGTATCACCAGTGAACGCAATTCCTTGTTCTTTGCACACATATGTGACACAACCTGAAATTATTGAAATTTTGGGGCTGAATAATCCCTGAATGCTCTTTGTATTCATTTATATTCATTATCAAATATGTGAATCAAAGTTATCACAAACTAAAACCCATCCCTGGCGGATCTGTCGATTGTAGAATCGAGTTGATCAGTATATCGATTCGTATGCGAGTGTAGTTCGATTCAGATCTCAGATTATTGATGGAATCGAAGATGAATCGACTTCATAGGGAGTCGATAGCTAGTGAATTTCGAATGATAAAAATTTATTGCACCAAAACTTGAACGACTCATCGGGTGGTCGATTATAAAAGACTCCTTACGGTCAGACCAGGATCGACTTGAAGAAAGTCGATTGTGACTCGATTGCCCGCATATTATTCACATCAATCGACCCACAATCGACCAGTTGTTGAGTCGTTTCATATAAGTGAATAATATGAAGTCAATCGAGTAATAATCGACTCAAGGATCAGTCAATTCTCCCACTGAAATTATGAAAAATATTATGAAACGACTAAACAACTGGTCGATTGTGGGTCGATTGACTTAAATAATGAGGACAATCGAGCTACCATCGACTTGGCAGCGAGTCAATTCATTTACTAAGTATAAAAAACTAGTATGAAACGACTGAATAACTGGTCGATTGACTTGAATAATGAGGACAATCGAGTCACAATCGACTTTCTTCAAGTCGATCCTGGTTCGACCGTAAGGAGTCTTTTATAATCGACCACCCCATGAGTCGTTCAAGTTTTGGTGCAATAAATTTTTGTCATTCGAAATTCACAAGCTATCGACTTCCTGTGAAGTCGATTCATCTTCGATTCCATCAATAATTTGAAATCTGAATCGAACTACACTCGCATACGAATCGATATACTGATCAACTCGATTCTACAATCGACAGTCAATCGAATCTCGGGATGTGGACGTTCGGGGATAGAAACGCCTCCCGGTGCACACATTCTCTCAGAAGCTAAAGGTCTTAACTGGTAACAGAATGCCGTTAATTTTCCAAATTATTGAATAAATTTCCTGCCGAAAGTTATCGATATTTTTACAAATCTAAGCACATTAATCTTCAGGAAGCGATGATGAAGATCAATGTGCTTTAGTTTCAAAAAATATTAATAGCTTTGAGCAGGAAATTTGTTTGAAAATTTCGAGGAAACGGTGGCCTTCTGTTACCCCTTAAGCTACTTACTTAAACAAATGATGACATCTTGGGAATCGTAAGTCGTGTTCTATCATGGCATGTCTCGATCACTTCTCAATTGTTATAGAAATCATATCAATCAAAGAATTCTAACGAGAATGTCGGCGTATATGAGCAGAAAAGAATGTCTTACCTTCGGTATGTCCTGGCGTAGGACATGCCAACAATTCGTGTCTCCCAAATTGGACTCGATCTTGCGGGTCAAGAAATAGATCTGCTCTCGCGCCACTACTTCTTGATATAACTGATTGACAACCTGGTAATAAGGTCTTCAGCTTTCCGGTGCCGGTTATGTGATCCGCATGCATATGAGTATTCACTAAAATATGTAGAAAAATAATGGGCAATCCCTCTCGAATATTGTGATAGTCAATTATTTATATTCTCCTCACGTGCATAAATCAGTTCTAAATTCAATTCTTTTATTATTGTAGCATCTCTCTCTGCCCATTCGATAACAGGATCAATCAGCACCGCTTGCTTTCGCATTATGTCAGCTAATAGGTATGTGTAAGTACTTGATACTGGATCGAAGAACTGTTTATTGAACGAGAATAACAAATATTAGTCAAGCTATTAGAAGAATCTAGTAATGCTACTCACTTGTCGAAATAAAAAATCTTTTGAGAACGGTATTTGCTCAATCAGCGTCATCTTATTGTGCGTTCCGAAATAACACTCACTCCTAGGCCTAAAGTTACAAGAAAATTAATTTTCAGAAAGCTAAGTATAAGTATAATGAGAGAATGGCCCACATTTCCTCTTCGATTTCTACGGAAAAACCAATTTATAACATGAGGATACGATAAATAATTGTTCAGAAAAATGAAATTCTGATTTTTTTCTACAAAATAGTTGCTATTGAACATTGTCTATAAAAAACACGCAGTAAAACTGCGGAATTCTTCAATAGAATCGGCCAAAAACTAATAGAATATTCAATAGAAATTTCCATCGAATCCGCGAGATTTTCTCATGAAATTTTTTCGTGCGTGAGGATTCAATGATTTATTGAACTCAACATTTTCCTAACATTGGCAGCCAACATTACCCCAACTTTGGCAGCCAACATTGCCGCAATGTCGGTAGCCAATAGTGTCCCAACGTCGGCAGCCAACATTTTTCCAATATTGGCAATCAACATTACCCTAACGTCTTACAAATCACCCAAAACAAATTTTATGCCTCTCGCTTCGCTCCGTTAAATCGCGGTTTTCAGTCCTCGAGGCATAAAATATCGTGTGCCACACGGCAGTAAAAGGATTTTCTGACGAATGTGATTATAACCCTCGCCTTCGGCTCGGGCTATAACGTCACATTCGTCAGAAAATACTTTTATATGATACGTGCGTGTAACCGCATGGGTTTCAGTTGACTATAGTCAACTG